TAAAAATCTAAGTGTCTGTTATCATTTGATACACCTTTATTAATGGCATATCAAGTGGTACATCAAGGCAAAATTATCAAGGGGTAATAATATTACATGTGCTTGATATACTATTATATTCCATTTGTACTGTGTTAACATGACAAACAGAAATGGTTAAAATTGTAATTTAAATATTATCATATCGAGCTAAGTGAATTTCAGTGATGCATACAGGGTCACAGCTAGTCAACAGCCAGTGTCCTCAAAAGTCAGTATAAAGGCAGGAATCTCACAAGAGCTAGCATCATTCTGGAGAGTTCCTCTAACTGTCAGATGATAAAGATCTAGCTGACCAATTTTATCACACTACACAGCCACATGGTTCTCTTTCCACCTGGATCTTTAGTGTGTTGCCTAAAAATTGGGCCATGGGGGGTCCAGCCAGAAACAGAAGTATCGCACTGATGCACCCAGGTGTAAACCTCGATGATAAGTCAGTGAGTGGAACTTTGCCTCTTACCGTGGCAGATGTATTGCTACAGGATGCTATGTGTTAATTGTTTTTGTATCAGATGAATTTGTCAATTGACTTCTTGGGACTTCTGGCACATTAGATGGGGATTGTCGGCTTAGAACCCAGCTTGGGGGATCCATAATTTGATTGTCACACTCCAAGGCTTGCGACTGTTGGCCCCTACCTGGTCGTGTCATTCCCATGTCTAGAACTATGACTGTATGGGCATTCAACCATCTCTTGAGAATGAATATAGTGATGATTCATGTTCTTCTGTTCTGTCAATGACCATGTATCAAGCCAGGGCATAAATACAAATGATAGCTCGAGTGCCTGTCATATCCCGTACCTCCGGATCCGGAATTCCGGATCTACTTCATTAAAGTCCGGTCCCTCCATCTTACTATTCCGCCCGGCACTCCGCCTTCATCTCCGAACTCACCCCTAACTCCTTTTAGATTAGCTATTGCTCCGGTTACCGGTTATGTCCTATTCTGCTATGCTTACTGATCCGTCCATTCTTACTTCATTTCCGACTTCACTGCTTTGATCCGTTATACTTAGTAATAGACTTTCCACATGCTTCGTACATAGCCCTTACCTTTGCTGACTGATTTACTTACATGATACCTACAGTATATAAACCCCTGTAATACTCCGGAACTCCTCAGTTGAATATCATCTTAGTTCTGCTCATTCCTGCAATCTCCGGACTTGAGTCTCATCTCTTGTCCACCTCCAAGTCTTAGGGGTTAAACCTTAAGACTACTTCTCTGGCTCTACCTTAGGGTAGTCTAACCTCTGTTCTGTTTCTACTCCGGACTTCTGTAGTAGCCTTACTCCGTCCCCACATAGTCTTCCGGAGTTCCGCCAAACTCCACCGACTTCTGTCCTCTGGAATTCCCCAGACTTCCGTCGGACTTCCCCTCTGTCCCCCGGAAATTAACAGACCCTTCAGTCATATGTACTGCAGAACCGAGTGATAGGACATGTACATTGACCTGCAAAACCAGGTGTACAGGACAGCGGCTGGCCCATGCAGAACCAGACCTGGCCGGTGTTGCAGAACCCTTGCAGGCCGGTGCCCTATTATACACAATGATATCTCTGCAGTATCTGTGTAGGCCGGTGATAGGCCTGGTCATGCAGGCTGCATAGAGGGGCTGGCTGACATGCTGCTGGTATCTGACACAGTAGGCCAGCCTGCCTCTGCAGTATGTGGAGGGCTGCCGGCCAGCCTAAGAATCAATTGTTGCTTGCAGGGCCAGCCTGCTTTAGCAGTCTGCAGGAGAGGGCCACCCAGCTTGCTTCTCATATCTGGCTGAGTAGGCCAGCCCCCCCTTACAGTCTACAAGAAGGGGCCGGCCGGTGTCCTGTGGGCATCTGGTCCAGTAGGCCTGCCCACCTTTGTAGTATGTGGGGGGTGTCTGGCCGGCCTAGGAATGAATTCTTGCTCGGCCAGCCTCCCTTTGCAGCCTGTATAGAGTGGCCTGCCCCCCCTGCAGTATGTGGGGGGTGGCCGGCCAGCTCAGGAGTGAATTCTTGCTTGGCCAGCCTCCTTTTACAGTCTGCATGGAGAGCCCAGCCAGCATCCTGTGGGCAACTGGCCCAGCAGGCCTGTCCACCTCTGTAGTATGTGGGGGGTGGCCAGCCGGCCTCGGAGTGAATTCTTGCTGGGTCAGCCTCCTTTTATGGCACAACCACACACTCAATGACTTTCTCAATTGGGGGGTTCCTCTCCTTTAACAACAGTTTCTGGAACTTAGTGGTTGCATCCAACTGGTGGCAGGATCACTGGAGAACACGTTATGGTCTGCATGGAGGGACATACATTCACAGACAAGGGGTGAGTGTAAAATGGAAGGAGCAGATGATATGTAGAAAGGGAATATGTTAATGAAGTAAACTCGCCATTCATGCAAGACGCTGGGATTACAGTTATCCCTGACCCAATTGCAGTCAATGGGCATGTCCTCACAACACTAGGTCTATGGTTAACATAAATCTGTGCAGGCACTCGATTATCAAAACTCGCCATTCATGCAAGACCTTGGGATCACAGTTATCCCTGACCCTGGATGGATGAGTTTGAGTGAATCCTTAGTGCACATTGCAAAAGGAGGCTGGCCCTACAAGCAAGAATTCACTTCTAGGTTGGCCAGCCACCCCCCACATACTGCAGGGGTGGGCAGGCCTACTGGACCAGATGCCCAGAGCATGTCGGCCGGCCCCGACATGCAGATTGCAGATGGAGGCTGGCCCTGCAAGCAAGAATTCTCTCCTAGGCCGGCTGGCCATCCCCCACATACTGCAGGGGTGGGCAGGCCACTGGGCCAGATGCCCAAAGCATGTCGGCCGGCCCCTCTATGCAGGCTGCAAAGGGAGGCAGGCCCAGCAAGAATTCATTCCCAGGCCAGCTGGCCACCCCCCACACACTGCAGAGGTGGGCAGGCCTACTAGGCCAGAAGCCCAAGGCATGCCAGCCGGCCCAGCCAGAATTCATTCCTAGGCCAGCCAGCCACCTCCCACATACTGCAGAGGTGGGCAGGCCTACTATGCCAGAAGCCCAAAGCATGTCGGCCAGCCCCTTTACACCATGTTTACATTCTGAATACTCACATCACACTTTTTTTTACATATCAGGAAGATCAACATTACATTAGCATGTCAACTCGTGAACTATCAACTTGTTATAAGTAATTTTCCTTCAAAATTCTTGAGACCCTGAGCTGAAAATTCTGCCCACATAGATGCCTGCCTCTCAGCATATGCCCTATTCCCATTCTTGATGCTTTCATCTGCCCGAACTCTCCACCTCTCCTCCTGTGTCCGAAACCAGGACATGGTCCAAAACATTTCATGCTGTACCAATTTCAGTTCTTCTGACCAACGGTCATACCGTGCTTTAGCTTTCAACCAATTCACACGATAAACTGGAAATGGGGAATATAAGCTGATTACCTTGATAAAATGCAGATCACAATAAAACTTACACTCGTTCATCCATACATTCTTCTGACTGTCCTCTGCATTGTTGATCCTCCAAAACCAAGCCAATTTATCTGAACCCTGCCCATGCCTGTTTTCTTCTGTGACTTCTTTGCTCACCACTAGGTCCTAAGGCTTTAGGGGTTGATACACTGCCACTGTATCAGAGTCAGCCCCTAGGCGGAGCATTGCAGCCCTTGCCCAGCTGTAACCTCGGGCCTGTCTGTTGATGGAGAGAGTTATCTTTTGAAGTTCCCTTTTAGATCTAGTGCCCTGGTGATGGACTGATTTGTTGGAGTGTATTTTCTCCCGAAACACAACTGATCTATCACCCAGGGCTTGACGGAGCTTTTCCAGGCAGTCATTTGCTTGACCCTTTCGAAGCTCAAGTTCTTCTTGACGTAATGCCAAGACAACATCATCCATGATGTGACCAGAGGCTGCCCATGATGGCATCCAAATCTCGGGTACTTCTGCAGGTGAGTCAGTATTACCCTCAAGGTCAAAAATATCCTCTTCCTCTGGATCATCCATACTGGATATGCCAGCCTCCTCCAGGCACAGTTCAGGGTTGTCCAGTGGTGCTCCTTCACCTCCCTCCAATTCCATACCATTAGTCATGACCTCTGCAGCCTCATGGAACTTAATAATCCGTGCCATGAGCTTCTGCCTTTTTTCTTCTATCCTGGTTCTCTGAGAAGCAGTCGGATCCTGGGACAGCTGCCTTATAGACAATCTCAAGGCATCTCTAGTAACACAATTTAAGTCAATCCAATCCCAAAGTTAGAATATCTTACTGAGCATTTTCTATATTTATACCATCAATCAACCATGCAACAGACCCAGTCCTACCATTAGCAGATAGTTCATTTTTGGTCAATCTGAGACGTATTTCAGCCATAGTGGGTGCTTTAAATTATTTTCCATCAGGGCAAAATCAACATCCACAACATAAGACCTACCTTTGTCCATTTTAAGCTGATAGATGTCAAGAAGCTCTCCACGGTCCTGAGCTGCTTTTTTGGCTGCCTTTTTCCACTCCTGAACATCAGCCAAATCAAGTGATCTGGTTAATTCCTCGTATGGACCCTGAGTGTCACTAATACCCTGTAGGGCTTGGCGATACTTTTTGAGTAATGACTTGACTTTTGCAAATTTTATGTCAGGCGAAGTCACAGAAACCAGAATGAAGGGGACTTGCCAATGCTGACCAGCTTCTTCCAATTGGAATCCCGCATATGGTCATCCAATACTTCCTGTCTGTGAGCCAAAGACATGGATCTCGCAGTGGGGGAAATCTTGTTGAAAGGAGCCCAGAGTGTCTCCAATATTTCCCCATCAATATGTGCAGCTCCAGTCATAAAATTCAGGCTGAACCTAGGAAAGCATTGAAGCTTATGTGCACTCAAATGAAACTTGCCAATTGTGGGCAATATTTCAGTCCCCTCAGGAAGGGACAGATGATAGCTCTGGTCCACCCGTTCAGCAAAGTGAATACTCCACTGACATGCAACATCATAGATGATGAGTGCACTGCCAATATGTTCGGGCATATATTTCACTGCATTGCAAATGGAATAGTCCATGTTCATGTGCCTGACTACAGGGTCAGTCCATTGTCTGAAATAACAAAACAATCACAGACCGCTCTCCCTTTTGGAAGTCTACCACTGCATGAGGAACAAAGCATCCATGCCTAGCACATGCTGTTGCCCCAACCCCTGTAGCTATTAGGTTGCTTCTTTGGATGTTTGCTGCATTCACTGCCCGATGATTGCTGCAAGTAGATTTCTTCAAAAATATTATAAGTCAGGAGGAACTGGTCATCCAAAATCATCACTTGCCTCTCTCTCTTCTACAGAATCATGGATGTGAGCTTGATAAGGTCCCTCTGTTACCATGTATCCCTTTCCATCTGCTAGAGAAACATTGTCTTCCGGAATTTTCATTTTCATATGTTGTGCTGTGAAATTTCCATCGACCACATATCTTTGCATAACTAACCACCTACCACAGACCAATAATGAGTGACATACTACTGCAATAGTTATGAGTCAGCTTACTCTTCATAGTCATATCTCCAAGACGTCGGCAAGTTGATTCCAGGCTGCGGACATGCTGGGCAATAAAGGGCTAAATCCCCTGGACCAGGGGATCGTTCAGTGTCATGTCCAAACCCAAACCTTTTTCTATTAACCAAATCCCACCATATACGTGACACTCGCATAAGTTCACGGTAACGGTCCTTTTTGTCCTATCAGCTTGGCACACAATCATAAGAAATTACTCACCGGTATTTTATCAGGGAATGCATTGTTCGTGAACCGACAGAGCTTTTGATAGAAACTCATGGCTGAAGTCTTGCACTCCAAAGCGTCTATGAGGAAGTTATCCAGGACATCGAATGTGAAAGCAGATTGAGGGCGAGTGATACTGGCAGGAAATAACCTTGCTTTCATGAGATGGAGATGCTGTGCCTTCTCAGCTCCAGGACACTGGCACCATGATACACTGTGTGAGTAAACACCAGTAGAGTGCACAATGACCAGGTTAGATACTCCTAACTGTGTATCATTAATTGTATCCCCCTCCTCCTGTGCAAACACATATTTCATGGCCCCAAGATCTTCCCAGGGAGATGGGTCTGGCTGATGTGAGATATTGGGGCATGGTTCCCCCCCATGGCCAAGATACATTATATACCCTTGAGCCTGCAGGGTAGTAGTCTCGTAGAACCTGCCATTCCAGAGTTGAAGGTTGTGGAAGGGGTTGTGTTGATGAGTTTTAACAACACAAGAAGGACACCAAGCATGTGTTCCTGAGCAAGACAAACACCGGATCAACCCCTCTCCTTCTTCACAATCTTTGCATTTCCCATCATTGACCAGCTGCTCTAACTCCAATAACACTGAAAGATATTCAGTGCGCCAAGGCAAGTAATCTCGAAGGAAATCATTTTGGGTCTGCACATGATTTTTTTTAAAAACTCGAGACTTCAAAATTCAATGAACTCACTTTTGTTTTTCTTTTCATACCATCCAAGCCTCCCATCCAAAAATCACCATGAACCTCTTGGTCGTATTCCACCGGTGTATGATCTTCAATATGGTGATGCCTCTTTTGTTTTGATGGTGAAGCCACTTCTATCTCACTATCAGAGTCCTCATAGACAAATGATGCATTAGCTTCTTTCCACAAATCTTTTCCCCTCCGTGTTTTTGAAGGGATATATGCATATTTATAAGCGCCTCTTTTTCTTTTTGATGGGCGAGTTCCAGATGAAGATGGCTGGACTCTGACCCTGTTTCTATTCCTTGGTGTGATTTGCGAGCTCATGAAATTGAGAGTCTGTCAAAGGGGACAAAACAACAAGAACATTGGCATTATTGGGGCAGTCCACCACCACCACCACCGCCCACACACCCCAAAACAGTCCTGTTCCTATCCTAACTATATTTGTAATTTATTGGCTCTCTGACCCGTGTGTTTGGGTTTCCTCCCTATCAACTCTAAAAAGTTCCTCTGCATAGGAAAACTTGGCCTTGGCACTTTTACTCTATCATGCACAGCATCCTTCATGAAATGGGCAACCACAATTCTTTCTCCATTAATCCAAGGACCCACAGAGTGCTCCAGTACCCTACCAGCAATATAGACCATTGCACCAGGCGAATAGTCTAGCTCTGCATGGATGTCGGCCAAAGAAAGAGTTGCATGATGGTTTCGACCTAAACTGACCAGAAGATCAAAAAGTGAAGGAGATCCACCAGGATCTCTGTGGCTGAAGGTTGTTCGGTTGGCAATAATTTCCAACCCTGAAAAGATAGAGGGCCAAGAATCCACCAGAGCTGAATTATTTTTTCGCCGCCGAACTTCCTTGACAACCTTGGAAAATGCAGAGAAACCTGATTCAAAAAGTTCCGGTGCCACTGCTGCAGTAATGGAGTTCCATAGAAATTCTGATGTTGTCAAAGCCGCTAGCCATTTTTGGACCTCCTTTGAGTTATAAGACTCTGACGTTACCAGAGGATCTATCAATCACTAATCACCAAGTAAGAACTGGGAAAATTCAGCACTGAAAATACAATACCTCTTGTCTTTGCATGAAATATGCAGGCGACACAGTAATCCTACCAGCCCCAAATTCACCCCCTCCCTCTGGCACCACAAAGCCATCATCTCGCCAACTCTTTTTTTGATCCGAAATGGGCGGCAGGGTATCAAGAAGAGAATTTTGTAAGCCTGAGGTAGCATTGTTAACGTACTCCTAATTAATTAATCAGCCCCTGAGAAAAAATCCCATCCAGAAACATACTAGATGAGAAGGTGACAAAATATTGGGGAGGTAAACCATCAAGATTCTGCCATGCCTGTCTACAATGGTGGCCGGAGTGGAAATTTTGCCGAGCACTGCCTCAGGGAAGTACTTCTTGAGCCTTTCCGGTTTGGAGGTTTCTGACCCATCCCGATTCGGTGGTGACAACTTGACCCTGTCAGCATATCGATCCACATCCCAATCAACATTGACTAGACTTCTGCTTTAGAATTCATGACATTTAAAAATATTTTGGGACACTCACTGGGATTGACCATTGCATGGGCAATAGTTAGTGCGGCCCGATCAATTTCATATACTGAAATTGATGTCTCAGTAAATGTAGTGTCATCCGGTGTTGCCAAGCAAATCTGGAGGTGGACTGATATTCTCATTCTAAAAGATTAATCAATTAGAATTCAGCTAAAATTGATACTCCAGCAATAGATACCTAGCTTTATGCAACAGCTTTGTTACCACTTGCCCATCTTTCAGGACCCCCATTTCAGATGAATTCCCAAGTATATCACTGATCCTGCTACTCAGAGCTTCCCTTACTTCCGATGCCTGGCTCTTCAGGTTGTCTTCCATGGGGGATGTAAAAAAAAATGAACCAAAGTTCTCACGCACTTCACACTCATTGTAGTTGTGATGTAATGAGTCTATAAATGAACATGATGTAATTAACACATCTTTGGTAACTCACACCCTAAACTCTCAGCCATTCTACTGAAGTTTACAGTACTCTGCTGTCATTTGGACCTTTCTCATATTGAAGTCACGGCCGGCATCCTGTGGGCAACTGGCCCAGCAGGCCTGTCCACCTCTGTAGTATGTGGGGGGTGGCCGGCCAGCCTCGGAGTGAATTCATGCTGGGTCAGCCTCCTTTTATGGCACAACCACACACTCAATGACTTTCTCAATTGGGGGGTTCCTCTCCTTTGACAACAGTTTCCAGAACTTAGTGGTTGCATCCAACTGGCGGTCGGGATCACTGGAGAACACATTACCATTATGGTCTAATCTCCTTTGACAACAGTTTCCGGAACTTAGTGGTTGCATCCAACTGGCAGTCGGGATCACTGGAGAACACATTACCATTATGGTCTAACTCGCCATTCATGCAAGATGTTGGGATCACAGTTATCCCTGACCCAATTGCAACATGATGTCATGAATGTTACCAACTGCATCTAAATTTCAATTATCGAACCCTAAGTCACCTTATCCGATAAGATTAGATTAGATAGATCCCTGATAAGATAAGATGGATAACCGATTAACGATCACTATCTTTACATCACATCTATACTACATCGACGTCATCCATCTATATCCGTAACCCTAGACATACAAAGTCATCACATCCTTAGAAGTCCTACGATTAGGCAACGGGTTACATCATAAGCATCTACACGCCTCTATGAACGAACCATAACCGAGAGTCCTTTATGAGCCATCTCTCGAAGAGTCATCATCCCTTCACATTGCAGACCTCCACTTCCCACACATGACATGTTAAGAGTTACCTCTGTCATTCACCGAACCCTTACATTAGAACCTGTTGCACAGTCACAGCTAATTCCCTGAACCCCTATCACAGAAGCGCCACTCATAGAGAAGCATGCTCATTACCGAAGACCCTGGAGAAACCCTAGATACGATCGCACCCGATACATATCCAGATCCCATCTCTTATCGAGATCCTTAATTACCGCTCGAGACTTCTTGTCACAGAACTCTCTCACACCCTTCTTAATATCCGTTGACCCTGAATAGAAGCAGTACCCTGAGAACCCTGCTTAATCACCGATACCCCTAAGGACCCTTTCCCCTTCCTTGTAGTTGATTGGTTGATAAGACGCCCTATACCCTAGGTGCAATGTTATGACCGTATATAGATATATCACTACCTTTCATACTCAGATATCTCCACCTAGAGAGTAGTATATAGTTTAGGTCGTAGTCAGTAGTACTCCTTAGACTTAACCTCTTCATTCTTACGTCATCGTAGGCCTAGACGTTCCCTCTCAATACCATCCCTGTTTTATCTTCTCTCAGACGAGTCCTGTGGTGTGATCCGATCTCCAGACACCTACTAGTTAGGTTAAGGGACGTTGGTCATAACACATGAGAGGACGAGCCTTTGACGACCATTAGTCATTCGGACCTTTCTCACACAAAGTCAGGACAAAGTTCGTGTGCAGGCACTAGATTATCAAAACTCGCCATTCATGCAAGACGCTCCCGGTCAAAAATACACTCACAAACTTCCTCTGGAGTTCTCATCATCCATGGTCAAAAACTCGCCATTCATGCAAGACGCTCCTGGTTAACAATACACTTGCAAACTTCCTCCGGAGTTCTCGTCGTCCATGGTCAAAAACTCGCCATTCATGCAAGATGCTCCTGGTCAACAATACACTTGCAAACTTCCTCCGGAGTTCTTGTTATCCATGGTCAAAATTTCATCCAAGAATCTTCAGGATCGCCTGGCAGAAAGGAAATATGTTGAACTCGAAGGAACCCACTCCTCACCAACCTCAAACTGACCTCAAACACTAATAACTCAACCATGGCATGATAACCACTTCATTTTATTCAAACAAAATACATAGTCATATGTGTTGGGGGAAACTTACATGAAACATACATAAGGATTCCGGGCAGAATTTCGTGTGCTAGAACTAATGCGTGAACTTGTGGGACTATCTAGTATATCGTTCAATGATCTATCACTGAAATCTGTTGCCTTTTCCATCACTCTCACAATCACGTGACTCAAAAGTTGGGCAAAGATTTAAGCATCACATGACCAGAAAATGCCCATAAAGGGTAATACATTTGCGCTGAGCTCTACATTAAATACAGTCCAAACCAAAAAGCTAAGGTAAAAAAACTAAAGTAAATGATGCAAGACAGGGATGGAGGAGCCCTCTCCATCCTAGCCTTGCACCCTACAGTACATAAAGGAAGGTAAAAATGTAGATTAATGATCAATCAACTATAGCATTAGTTAGTATGATATTGAATATTAAAATGACGCTTACCGGATTAAACTTGTTAAGGAAAGGTGGTAGGCACAGAAGGTGTAGACCACCAAAACTATAGTGCAAGTCAGTATGATCTTCAATGTTAAACTGACACCTACCTAAACAAAAGGCAGACATAGTGCAACAGAAAATGTGTTATAGAACACTAGAAAAATAAACCGTCAGTACAGAACACACTTGAAAACCGGAAAAAACAGGCCAGCAATGCGGAAAAAACCTTGTAAAACAGAACAAAAAACAGGCGCACCACAGAAAATGTCATAGAAAGCTAGAGAATAAGTCAGTACAATACAGAGTAGACATGAAAGCCCAAGCCCCAGTACCCACAATTCAAGGCATCCAGTCCCTGGGGACATGAATGGCCAAGACAAACTCCCCCAGTACCCACAATTCAAGGTGTCCAGTCCCTGGGGACATGGATGGCCAAGACAAACTCCCCCAGTACCCACAATTCAAGGTGTCCAGTCCCTGGGGACATGGATGGCCAAGAAAAACTCCCCCAGAACCCACAATCAAGGCGTCCAGTCCCTGGGGACATGGATGGCCAAGACAAACTCCCCCAGTACCCACAATTCAAGGTGTCCAGTCCCTGGGGACATGGATGGCCAGAAAAGTACATAAAAACCTGAAGAAAAGTCAACTACTTGAAGAAATAAGGAGACACTGACCTTGGGCGCGTCTATGACATGCCCCAAATCACTGTAAGTAAGAGACGGTCAGTATACAAAGAGTTGGCAAAAGACTAACCTGAAAGGCGCGCTATCAATAAGGATTGATAGCGCGCCGCCTGTGAAGAACCACTATGAAAAAATAAACCAGAAGTTAGTACTGTTAAACGGATGTACAAATACTCACCTTGTGGGAGTGAGCACTTGAATAAAACTGTAGCACTGCCTTTGACCACTTGCAGCTGCAGTCTGCAAGTGGCCAAAGGACAGAAGCACAGAACATCTTGAGGTTAGTAGTGTGAGCAAAGGGAGGATAGTATAGGACGATACACATGGTTGAGGTTGAGGAAAATGAACCGTGGGAGGAATATTAACGGTTGAAGTATGTTTGTTGATTTGTTCTTGTTTGCAAAAAGGTCACGTGGCATTTGGTTGGTGTTTTTTCACCAAGTCCAATTTTTGCCGGCTGACATCACGTGCATGTTTGGTTGGTTTTGGTCCACATACTTGTTTCTTTCGTCTTCCTCACTGCTAACTTCTAAATACCAGTTCATACACGTTTCTTGAGTCATGTGGTGAGTTTCTGGTGTGTGGCAAGCGGTATACTGACTACATTTGCAGCTTTTCAGCCAGCCCTCTCCTCCCATCACCCTCAGTAACCATGGCCCGCACCAAAATGACTGCCAAGAAGTCCAATGGTGGCTCAGCACCACGCGTCCACCTCAAGACCACTAGGACTCGCGCTAACCGTATTTCTGGAGGAGGAGAATCAGAGGGAGGCCAGCGCATGGAGATATGTGAAACAGTTCATCACAACGGCGTGAGTTTTTTGTTCTTGCTGTGTCTGCGCTAATATGGCTCCTTCCCTCCAACAGTTCTGTATCCTCTGCCAGGGATGGCTCTGCATCATTCAAAGAGAATCCTCTCTTTATGTGCAACCATTGCCCCAGAGTGATGTGCCGGCTGTGCATGGAGCTCCCACTGGGCACTGAAGACACGATCCTTGGTGAGGACGTGTCTTTCAGGTGTATATGTTGCCACATGACTATGGAGAAGCAGGGCGCACCATACTATGTGAGTTTTTTTTTTGTTTTCATTCTCTGTTCATTCGCAGCTAATGGTACATCAGGGCTTCTACTATCGTGACAGCACGACAGTCCTCCAGTCTTTTCTACAGATCCACGCTTCCCTCGAACTCTCATCACGTGCCGAAATTTCCGCTGCCCCCATCTTATTCATCCATCTTGTCCTCATCGACTTCGAAACTACTAGCAGCCCCTTCTCTTTCACTCATTCGTTCCTCCAGCCGTACTTCACAAGCAGGGGTATCGAATATCGTGAGATTGCGTACGACATTATCTCTGCCCCGGGTGCTTACCTCAAAACGGTCGGTCAAATTATCAAGGCCCTCAAGAATTCGTTTGTTTGGGAACGCGTCATCATTGGTATATCCACCCAGTGACAATGACCATGGTGACCTGTTTGCTGGGTACTCCTGTGATGATGGCGAGAAGCACTATGGCAGCGCTGGATCTGACGAAGTGAGTTTTTTTTTTTCTTTTTGGCGTGCATTTGATTACTAACTACTTTTAACTTAAAGTTCTTGGAGATTATTCTCCGTCCATGGCAGTCTCTCCTCGACTGTGCCAAGGAAACATACCTGTGGCTTTTGTGCTGTGGCTCCATTGTCAACAACAGTGATTCGTTCGCAGGGTTGCAATGTGCAGTAGTCCTGGTAAGTTCATTTAAATTAAATTTCTTATCTTATCTTACCTGCCAATAGCCACAAGCTCTCCGCCACCATCGCTTTCAATGCCCGGCGTTTCCAGCCATCCTTTGCGTCTCATTTGCTCCTGGCATTCACAGAGCAAGTCCTCATCGAACGTTGCCCCATCCTGCCTTTCCTTTGGCGAAATGCTGGGTCAATCATACAAACTTGGTTGCCACACTGATGTTCTGTTACTCATGCCGCTTGAGGCTAGCCTCCAGATCTCCAAGTTCACATGGGGTGATACAAACTTCCAGCCTTGGGGTGGCTTCCTGCCAATCCAATGCCCAAGCTGTGGGTGGACTAATTCTTGGCATTCAGCATATGCCAGGGCCAGTGGGGACAAGACCTATGTCTTTGAGTGCAAGAATACCACCTGTGACCAGAGTTTCAAGTTCAGTCAGCCTAAAGGCACCACCATGCTGTCAGCAGGTAGGAAGCAGGGGTGTTCATGGATGGAGGTACCTGTGGAACCATTGTTGACTTGATCATGTACATTTCTAACTTTTGCTACTCAAATTTTGTCACTTCATACATGTTTTCACTCTATGCAATAATGTTTGGTTGTCTGTCAATGAAACTTTGTTAGATGAACTGTGAATGTTGGTGAATTTCAGTAAATATAGTGTAACTTGTAAATGCACATGTCACATGACCGTGTTTGTCACATGACCGTGTTTGTTGACCATGTTTGTTGACAACACGGTCATGTGACATAATGGTTGAGTTTTCAAGCACAATCAAGTCTTGGCTGATCCTGCATTCTGCAAACTCGTATCGGCCTGCATCCATGTCATTTTGTGATATAATGGCCAGCTGGACTCTCGTTTTTAGCAATGTGTTGAACCAACACAAGGATTCCTTTGTTGCAGCTAAAGGAAATTCTGCTATCAGGGCTCACATCCTCAAAGTAATCAAAGATGCTATAGGGAGCAGTGAAGCAGCCAAAGACCCTTGTGTCATGCTTCCAGAGAAAAATCTTCGGAAGGTGAGCCTTCGAAATTCTATTCTATACTAATCTAATTAATACAGGCTGTTCGTACATATTATTTGGACTTCCTGGAGGATGACTGAGGATCGCAAGGCAGAGGAAGAAATTATTGAGGGAGGGCATAAAGACAGATCTGCTGCAGATGCTGTGACTGTAGAGATGGTGAGAGAACGGGAAAATGATAAGCCTGAGGAAGCTGGGAAGTACAAGACAGAATTCTCCGGTTTTGATGTCGCCCAAAAATTATTCAAGGATGAATTTGGAGAATATGACAAGATGCACCGCAATACCTTTGACCAAAAGTCTATGGGCCAGAGGACAAAATTGGCCCGGGCATGGCACCAGGCTATGTCCTCTGAGGTGAAACAGGAGCTCATCCAGGTTGCTGGAAAATGGAATCGAGAAGGACCTCCTGCAGATACCAAGGATAGGTATTTTTTTCTAACTTTCTATCAGCACACATGTTACATGACTTAATCATATGTCAACAGATACCGTACTTGTAACCAGAAAAAAGTCATGGAGGACTTTATGGGCATGGTTCGCAGAACTATGGGGTTGCATCTCGTCATCCTTACAGCCCATGATCGAGGTGAGGGAAAGGCTCCTGGAACTACTCTGTGAGTGTTTTTTATGCTTTATGTTGTCAATGATGATAAACTTGTTCATAAAGCTGGGAGACCTTGCCTCTAAAGGCGAAAAAAACCTTTTACTCAGACATCGAAAGACAATAAGAAATGGGCTGGAGATGCTCAAGATCGTCTTGCAGACTGGCTCCTTGAAGCAGAATATGGTGATGTTCATTTTAATTTTAAATCTAATGTCGTAGCTAAAATTATAACAGCTGATGAAGAGGATAGTGATGGAGAGGACAGTGAGGATGATGATCTTCCAGATTTGACTGTTGAGGTCGATGATGATGGTCACCCTTGCCTACCAAAAGGGTTTGGATCTCTCAAGCTGAAGCACAGGCAAAAGGTTGTTCGCACTGTCTTTCAAAAGGCCTACTGTGAGTTGATTGCCTCATATAATGTTATCATTTACTCACTTTCCCCAGCTCTTATTACCAACAATCCCCGGGCTCCAGTGCCCTGGGGTGAAGTGTCTGAAAATCCCGATCACTATCTTGATTCGGAATGTATCCCTAAGAATGTCGTCATCAAGGACCCTTCCCACCTGCAAAAGGACACAATTGCTGCAATTTATTCCCACTGGATAGATTGTGCTAGTCATGGCGCACCAATTGTACAGTTTTGTTGGGTATAGGCAAGCTGATTTCTATGATCAGCCCTCCAAGAAGGGAGGTGCAAGGCAAAAATCAAGGAAGAAGCCTGACTACAGTCCATGTCACTTCAGATGAGGAAGATCGCTTGAAGAAGATTGATGATGGTAAAAGCTCTTCAGATGAAGATGAAGACAACTTGGACATCACTCCCATTGCTGATTCCAGCCCCAAATACCATGTCACTAGGGACATGGTATCTTATCTCAAGTCTCTCTCTATCATCCCTTCATATCACCAGCCTTCTTGCTGCAGTTCAAAAGCTTCCGGTATGTCATATCTAATAACCTTATGATCTCACATTTATTTTGTCCATTTTAAAGACAAGAACAGATTCCAAGGCATGGAAACAGCAACTCCCTATCTGGGTGTCCTGGACATGGTCTCAGGCTTATCTGCCTAAAGACATCCATGAGAATATGGAAACTGCCTCCGCTGCACTGGAGAATTTGCTTAACTACAAGTTCAATTCTCGTGGATGGGGCATGATTGTGGTCCTGGGACTTGGACTTCTACTTCGTGAGTGTAGACGTGCTCAGGAGTATGAAGAGGATGAAGCCACAGATGATGTACCTGACTACTTGGGTAACTCTATCTTGGGCTTCCAGTTGGGTGACCAGATTGTGGACAAGATTGCAGGGATAGAGGCTGAAGTCGAAGCCATATGGAAAGATGAGAATTTGGGGTTGTCTGTTGTGAGGCAAGATATTGAGAAGAGGCGTGGGGAGGAAAGAAAGAAGTTGGAGGAGAACCGGAAGGCAGAAGAGGCTAGGGTTATTGAGGAGAAGAGGGTGGAAGATGAGAAGAGGGCAATGGAGGAGAAGAGGGTTGAAGAAGAGGCAAGATTGGCTGAGGAAGCAAGCAAGGCAGAGAAGAGGGTGAGGAAATCTAATGCCAAAGGGAAGGGTAAGAGGCCTGCTGCAGATGTGGAAGAGCCATCCAAGAAAAAAGTGAAGTCTTCCCCTCCTGATCCCCCTCGTCATTCTGGGAGAGACAAAGTCACATCAAAGAAATACAATGCCTGAGAAATTAGGTACATTGTGTTATGTGAAACCTCTCGGATGAGATCTGGCGATGCTAAACCCACAAGGGGCGTTCAAAGTGTGGCCTTCGGCGCTAGCCCAGCAAGGGGCTTGCTTGCGCTAAGTCTGAGTAAGGGTTGAGGCCCTTACTTGTGTAGAGTCAATTGGAGTTTCTCAAGGATACGATCCAAGAGATGGAGTTCAACTCAAGAGTATTGTCTCAAGAGGAGATGATTCTGTGTATAGAGGGAGTTCTCTTAGATAAGAGAAGTTCAGACCCAACGACAAGATCAGATGAGAACCGAGTAGATTCAAGTTAGAGAATCTATCTACAGTACAAGTAAGATATATATACGTAAAGGCGATATACCGGTGGAACGGTAAGGGTACAGGGTACGGGGGTAGTACCGGAGTATCGGTAAGGGCTGGGGGTATGTACGAGTCACATACCGAAAAGGGTAAATAGTACTGGTTGAATGGTAAGGGCAAAGGGTATGGGGAATCCCCATCACTGAGAGAACCAAAACAAAGGAAAGGGCATAGGGTGTGGTAGAAGCCGTGGCTTCTATGATCTAGGGGAAGAAGCGAGAGCTTCTCGCGTTTCAGAACAACGGAATCAAAAGTAAAGATGAAAATAGAAAAGTCGTAACCATAGTCCAGGTCCAGACGAGTTCGAAGAATGAAATGACGTGTAACGCTCATGTTACTGTAACACATTGTTCCATACATCTTTTATCATAAAGGCTTAGAGTTGATTACATGCTTTGTACATCCATACTTGAGACTTGAACATATTCAAGATGAGACGGACCATACATGTCTGAATATAGGTCACAACCAATGTGGCTGGCCCACTCCTACAGGTTGCAACAGCAGGCTGGCCTATAGTGGTATGGGTCACTGTGGAAGCGGCCAGCCCCCCATTACACAATGCAGAATGAGGCCGGCCGACAGCAGTACATGTCATGACCCATGTGGCCAGCCCACTCCTACAGGCCGGAATAGCAGGCTGGCCCACAGTAGTATATGTCATCATAGGTACAGCCATGCTAGACCATGAATATTGGTCTATTGAAAATTCACTATACACCTGTTATAACTAAGTATAGAATATGAATTTTCTGTGACCTAAACCTATGTGTGAGCCTTCAATGATTATCTGATTCCTAGTTGGACAATCTTTGGTCACAAGAAAATAGACCCTTACATGTACCACTCTGATCTGGGAATGACCTACTCCTATGTGTGAGCCATGAGTTTTGATTTATGTGATTTGTATAACTAACACCTCTACAAGCTTGTGTTACAGTTTTGTGGATTACAACTGTACTACTAGTGTACCACATTGATTTCAAGGTTTTCTATTATTTTTATTGACCTTGACTTCAGCTTGTCCTATGATCTTGTATCACTGTAGTGTCAGCTATAGACAGGCCTGTATTGATATTATAGCACTGGCCTTTATAGGTTTTTCTGGTATGACTACAAATAAGCTTATATACATATAATCATATAATCAGCCACACCTACCCCTACATACCAGCTCATCCCAGTATTGCAGATACATTATGTATACAAGAGTCACCGGCCTGTATGTGGTTGCATACTGGCCTATCCAGGTACTGCAGACATGTCATTTATTAAAGAGTCACCGGCCTGCACATGTTTCACACAGCCGGCCAGTCCTGGATATACATAGGCCGGCCATTGTCCTGTAGACCTGGTTTTGCAGGCCAATGTACACGTCCTATGACAGGGTTATACAGTATCATAAGACTGAAAGGTGTGAAATTAAGGGCGCGTACTCGGGTAAGGGGCGCAGCGCACAAGCTGAAGCTGAAGCCCTTTGAGTAACCTCTCCCTTGAGCACGACCTTAACAGTGCCCTTGTGATCCCTGCTGTGATGTGATGGCAACTCAATGGAGATGGGATCCAGCAAAATACAGCAATCGTAGCACGCATGATACAGGAATTGAATGTACATTTTGTTTTATAGGTATATGTTGCAACCAGGTCGATTCAATTATTCACTGTGGTGGTGCCCAGAGAAGACAATTCAAGCAGCATGGAAGTAGCTTTTGAAGCAGTGGCAGTAAGGACCCTCTGGTGAAACAAGTGAGTCTGGTAATGGTGTAATAGGTGAGTTCAAAGTTGATTTTGGAGGCCGATTTGGACGTCAATTTGGACGTCAATTTGGATGTTGATTTTGCACTTTGAAAATGAAATCAGCTTTGGTGGATTTGAGATAGATTTCGGCTGGTCAAGCGGCAACGTGAGTCAGACTTTCAAACACGCATAACATGACTTACACGCACCTCGTTTACTGCACGACCATCGACATGACTTAAGGTACTAATCTTGTTTACTCTTTTCAACTTTGCACTATGGCAAAATCCAAGCAGTTGACAACTCAAAAGTCCGTCAAACACGTTGTTCCGAAAGTCCGCAAGAAGAAGGCCAATGGTGATCCCACAGGAGATGTTGAAGACTCGGACTCAGACAAAGAAAACAACAATTGCGTGGGCATGTCAGGTGATATGAAGAATCCCCGTGTTATGATCCAGTATGTGTGTTCTTGATTTTATGGTTTGTGCTGACGTGTTTTAGTTGGTCTAAGCCAAACAATTACCACCTTATGGATCAACTGCTTACCCTAATCAAAGACTCGCCATTATGGAAGGCTGTGTTTGGCTTTGACAAGGGTACTTCTGGCTTGGCCATCGCAACAGGCAAAGGCAAGAGCACCCTGAAGCACTGTGCTGACATTGCTGTTGCTCTCTTTATTGACTATGTGGCCGGTGTGCAGTGGACTTTTGATGACATCAATGTGCTTCAAGGTGTCATCAAAAATAGAATTGGCTCGTATGTTGCTCGTACACATTTGTATCACTGACAGCTGATCAATGACACATCTATTGTTACAGGTTACAAAGCTTGTATGCTGACATTCATGCTCAATTGGGTGAAATGGGACACGGTCTTGTTGTCTCAGGATGTGAAGATGAACTAATTGATGGCAGCCCAGCTGCAAATGTCTATGGTAAGATCATATGATGCACATATGGGCAGGATGTGGGACTTGTTTGTTTACTTACAGATGTGATAAAAACCAAATTTCCTTGGTATTGTCGCATGCATGAACTCATGGGCTCGAGCCCTGTCGTCAGTCGAAAGGCTGTGTCTAACAGCAAATCTGCTGTTGACCTGACCATCTTGGACCACAACTCCCAAGATACTTTTGAGGATGAGGTATGTGATTGATATAATTATAGACAAATCTAATTTTTATCCAGTATGAACATACTCCATCAGTATTTGATGAGGACGATGATCCCCTTCGAAGTCCCCTTACTTCAAGTTCTCCGACCCCTGCTACTCCTCTTAGGGCTACAATCATTCTTCTGTCAAAATGTCTCGCTGATACACCTACCCACACCAAGTCAGCATCGAAGAAGCGCAAATCCATACACGATATGGCCAGAGAGGTTGCTGATGCTGAGCATGAGGCCTGTCTCATCATGAACAAGATCAATTCTAAGGAGTGAACTGCATGTGAGCAAATTAAGCGTAGGTCTGCTCATGACACTGCCCTTGCAGTCGAGCGCATGTGGGTGGAGCAAGCTGCTGCTCAGCAAGCACATGAGCTAGTGATGATTGAGAAGCAGATCGAGCTAGAGAGGATTCGAGCTGGTATTCATGTACCTATTGACCCACAGCTTCATTGAGTATACATTTACTTACTATATAGATATTCAAATAAGCTCTTCTTTAACTCTGCTCACTTCAGTTTACCTTCTAATAGTGTGATATCTCTGGAATATTCTCTCCCTTCTTCCTCTGCATTTGCCCTTTGCTCGATGGCCTCTTGTAGCTCAGCATCTTGACAAGTCTCCTCAGCCAAGATCTGTAGTCCACGATGGAAAAATTGGTCTTGTGATATATTGACTCCCTTTTGATGTCCCAAGCTGAATGCATGAAGGTGAATGCAAGGGATGATCCATAAAGATGCATATTGAATATGAGTCTCAGTATCGAGGTAAACATGGAGGCCCCGAAGTGATTCCCATGTGCCCTTGAGGTAGCCCATGGCATGCTCCTGAACGAATACGAATTTTTGAAACATGATAGTTAAAAGTGGAATTCTCCTCGATGTCACTCTCAGGTCTGTGTTACAATATCAACAAGAAATTAATTTTATACTGATCACTAACCACTTACTTTTTGTATGGCTGCCTGACACCAGGAATGGAGTGGGTATGCTGTGTCTGCAAAAATCCACTCTCCTTCATCAAGCAACACATCATGTTCCTTGAACACACTGTGTTTCAGAGAATGCAGTTACATCATGCTGGCTACCAGGGAGGCCAACTGAATAATCAATGATGCGCAAGTCAGGAGTCGAAACAATCTACTGCCAACATTAGATATTTGCACTGTCAAGGTATCGGAGATGAAAATACCTGCACATTAAGAGAATAATTAGACTTCCAGGTCTGTTAGGTACCGTGCCGGCTCAAGAGGCAGAGGGGTCGGGGCTTGGCTTCAGCTCTTGCGCTGCGCCCTTAGCTGAGTATATGCCCTGAATTTGGAGCGGGTCCGACATTGTCCGACGGTAGGACGAGTGGACCGCTTGGGTCTGCTTTGGGGGTCGGGGAGTAAGAGCCGCTAGTGGTGAACCGACTAGGAGCAGAGCAGAGAAGGCGGGGAACGATGCGGAGGGTGGATAGGAACTAGGGAGATATTTTGATAGGAGCGGAGATGGCGGAGGATAGTGCAGAGGATAGGGAAAGGGGTGATAGGAGGATATTGATAGGGGCAGGGTAATAAGGGAAAGACTTTAGAGCACGGCTCTAAGTCGGAGCAGGAGGGTCAGAGGGTCGGAGGTGACAACAAGTTGAGACTTGTGTCCAGAGGAGGCAAGGTCCTACTGAGAATCCTCACAGGATATAACTGCGAGAAGACAAGTAATATTAAGACTAAGGAAATATATCTAAGTACAGGATATGTTATATACTTCTATGTGTGAGGCAGTGATCAGGATAACTATGTAGTAAAGCTATGTACCAAGGATATAGTTTGTAAGTACTTTTACATAGACGAAGACATAAGTCGGAGTGGATATCAATATGTACGTGTCAGATCAGCTGATCGGGCGGTAATAGGAATTACCAGTGATCTGAAAGTGAGGGTCTATGTACCGAAAAGGAAAGCATATACCTAAAAGGGGAAAGAGGTCCAGTTGAATGGAGAGATTATGGAAGGGGACCAGTTGAGTGGTCGAGCAGACTGCGTAGGGCAGAATGCGGACTTGTGATTGGGCGGAGCGGAGGATGAATGGAGCAGGAGGGGGTTGGAAAGCGGAGCGTATATTGATATGGGAGCAGGTTGGATCAGGTATATGACACGGTCATACCAAGTGTTCCCATAAAAAGCAGGTCGAGCATATAGTGGAACCAATGTGTCATTGACCATCACCCAACCATCCCACCAAGCAGGACAGGAGTTCTCCTCCACCCATCTCTTTGCCTCCTCTTTCTCATTTGATGTTGGCCAGTAAAGGGCAGAGTGGCGAAAGCAGGTCACTGCAGATGACCTTCATAACACTGCTGCGTGATGAGGCGAACAGTGCCATAACCAACACCAGCCCACAGAGCTACTAATCGAGTGCTGATTGCATTGCCATAATGGCCAAAACTGATATAAAGCAATTGCTACCTGTGCTTCAATAGGCATCTGTGGGACATTGGTCTGGCTATGGAACACTGGATCATCCTGCAGGGCAGAGACGAGCACATCAAAGCAATCAGGGGTTACCCAAACATAGGCTCTGAAAATCTCAGGTCATGTAAATTTCCACTCCACAAGGAGAAGGCGCAAATTTTCGCCAGTCTTGACAATTGGCTCCCTGTCTACAAGGTATCTCCAAGAGTATAATGAGCCTACCACAGCCAAGTAAAACATCACTGGTTGTGGGCATCAGCCAGTCGTCATCTGACTCTGAGCTGTCAGAGCTTCCTGAAGAACTCGAATCAGAACTAGAAGAGGTAGGATCAACAAGGACTTGGGATTACTGCTACAAGTGCTGCAAGATATGCCTCAAGCATGGATTCCAGCAGCTTGTTGGCATTCAGTCCAAAAGGGCATGATGTTTTTACAAAGGTTTTTGATGCATTCTACCACAAATGTTGAACAATGATAAATTAAACTCCAACACGGCAAAGTGAAAACAGTGGTGTCAAATCTGTTGAAATCAGGTGCAAATTGAGGGATGTCAAAGTTGAAATCGGATTTCGACGTTTTTGAGCATCCAAATCCAAGTCCAAATTGATGTCCAAATCACATCCAAATCGGCCCCCGAAATCAACTTTGAACTCCCCTAATCTAGGGTGATTGTGCTGATCGGCAGCGTTGGGATTCGCTGCCATCGAGCAAGGTTGGACAGCTGATTAATGAGTCTACATCATCATTTCCATGGAAGAGAACGAAAGGACTGGCATGGCTAATGCGACTTACTATGAATAATTTGGAAGCCGTCCGCTAGGGTCTACATAGTACTAGGTAAACCAACATCCATCCATTTGGATTACAGCCATTTGCAGAAGTCTTCCGAAGATATTGCAATGATCGCTTACTAATCCCAGTGTAACGATGAATCGTTGGGTCTTTGACATTTAGCAAGCTCATTTGTAGAGTAACTTGCTTTCGTTCCTTGGATATGTATTGTCCCATCCGAGTCGTAGATCGAGATTGCCCTGTCAGAAGTTAAAAGTTTGTTGTCCCGAATTATTGCCGAATATATGTAGTGAATTTTTTTTGGCCTAGCAGTTCTGCAAATGGCTGTAATGGAACTTTGGAATATGGACCAATTGATATCGGGTCTTGGCAGAAATGGAGGCACTTATTTTCCTGCAGTGCCGCATTTACGAGTGTAGGCCTCCTCTCGTTTAAAGTTAAACACCATGAACCATGAGTCTATCACCTAAATGTCTCTGTCTTTCTTGTCCTACTGCAGGTCTTGGTTAAAGAAAGTTGGGAGGAAGTTACTGTGGTGGAGAAGCCTCCCGTCTACAAGTCTCACCGAGACAGACCCAGACAACCAGCAAGTTTATGATAGTACCCTGTGATAATGCACTTCCTCACACTTCTAATGCAGCCTACCTGACCTCATGGGATTCCTATCCAAGGAGTCGTCCAATCCCATAGCGCACGGTAGTTTCAGGGGTGTATGGAAATGCACCTACACCGCGTCCGACCAGGAGGCAAGCATGTCGTGTACATGATGTACTAGTCTAGCTAAACGATCTGAATCTATGACAGGTAGCAGTCAAGTCCATAAGGATCAACGTCGCAGGCGACGATTCCAAGGCCAGAATTACCCAAGTACCCTCTTGGCTTCCCATTTGCATCTGATACGCTTGCTCAAACATCATGGCTTCACAGAAACTCTTGGCCGATTTTCGTGCACGGAAACAACTGCAACACCAGAATATTTTGCCTCTGCTCGGTTTCAGTAACGAGTTCGGGCAACTCCCAGCGATGGTTTCCCCTTGGATACACAATGGCTCGCTTACCACATATCTTGAACAAAATTTCACAGAGTTGACTATCGAACCTAAACTTCGAATCGTGAGTTCTCCCCCAAAGGCGTTCTCACATGGTATTCAATGGACTCTTAGTTGCGACAAGTTGCTGCAGCCGTCAGGTACCATAAGTTGGGATCTTCATTAGTTGCAGAAACACTGATTTACGGCATTGTAGTTCACTTGAAGGGTGTTGTTCATGGTGACCTCACTGCCGTACGTAGTTCTCTGATACCCCCCTTCTAGCTCTGATGATCAGATCTGGAATGATAGAACAACATTCTAATAGATTCCAACCACAACGCCCACGTAGCAGACCATGGGATCCTCACCATGTGTTCTGAGCTCTCAGGTACTTCATACATCAGAAGCAACGTGTGGTGGGCTGCTCCAGAGCTCTTTGAGGTGCCTGAGAACGAAGAGTCGTTAACTTCTCCAAAGCCAGCGAGCGATATTTATTCCTTGGGATGCATCATGCTTCAGGTTTTTCGCATTCCTAGTTGTGTTGGTTTGCAACTGAGCTTCTGCAGGTTATGACAGGTCAACAACCCTATGCAAATGTACGGAGCGATCATCAAGTCACTGTCTTGATACTCAAGGGTAACAAGCCCACAAGGCCCTCGAGTCCGCACATTGCAGATTCTTTTTGGGATTTCATCAAGAAATGCTGGAATGATATAGGACATCGCCCCTCTGCTGTTGAGGTTTCGAGTTTTTTAGGATCAGATCATGTCATTGCGCTAGAGTCCAAGTGAAACAGCAAATTTATCGGAGAGCTGATCGATATTATTTTATCTGCTACCTTGATTTATGTATATGTATGTATGTATGTTTCATTATTAGTCATATTACGTATATTATATAAATAATAATAATAATAATAACTGTCCTTCTCGTCCTTCCACTCGTGATTCTATTGGTATCACTAGCAGTACTGATAATTGTATGGAGAATGATTAATGACCCTCAGCTAGGCCCTCCATACTATCCGATATACGATTCCGTACTTAGCTTCTCAAGGATCCTTTCTAAAGCTCATGCGATCTTATAGGAAGTTAGGAACCGTGAAATGAGTAATCCACCGTTGTGTCCACGCTCAGCATCTTTGTGCTTGATTCACGAGTGTTGATGAGCATGGGTAGGTTTCTTCACCAATACTGATTGAGGTGCAGTGGATGCTCATGGCGGCCCGGAGAAGGCAGGCAAGCGTCTCCTCGTGCACCTCTCGCCACAGTGGATTCTGTGCGTCAGCCTTCTGGAATTATTTGCTCGGTATTAGCAACTGTTCGACAACGACTCCGGAACGCCTACTCGGAGCGGTGATGGATGCTGAGTGGTATGTGCGAACTACTACTAGCTTGGTTTAAAATTTACATGCTGCAAACGTTCAATTAGGTTTCTGCGGGGTCTTCGGGGTTTGTGGCATATATTTCCAGTGCAATCACGAGATGAAATTCTACAAGAGATGGCTGTGCTCGTGCTATTCCACCTGATCCGGAAGTCACACGACGAAGCAGAGTCGCAAGCATTCAGGATTGATCAAGGCGGTAGAAGGACCTGTTCATGATTTTAGGGTGGTTTAACGTCATATAATCAATGTTGGATGATCGAATTCAGAACTTCGGTTTTTGCTATCCACACTCAGGAATACACGCATGCGGGAGGCCTGTCAGGCTCCGATGACGTAACAAAGCCTTGCCCCCGCCTGTCACGAAATGAAGATAATCATGCGGGCTGTGATAGGGTCCAGCCAGCCCTGACCCCTCCTTTACGCCGGTAGGGATGCTTTACATTCCGTGTCTTCGGGCATGAGTCATATGGTATGAAAACCTCACGGTCAAAGAGCGACTCCAACGTGGCCCGGTTGCCAATTCAGCAGGTAAGCGCGTGAGCTACTGCGACATGTCTTCATATCAGAACTTGTTTGAACGACACCGATGAACAGCCTCCTTTGGCTGACGTAGACGTCTGAATTTCTGAAAGGTCCATCTCTTCGCCACGATGATTGTCTAATGCTACCGAAGCTGCTGAGAGCCAATACTGCCTCGCGCAACTGCTGCTGTTTTGACAACTGGGCTTATCAGCGCCACCAATGCTCCATCCCTGACAACATGCTTTAAGAATGTCATGTTTATTGTCTGCCGTACACGAGAAGCAGGTTTCCACTTGACGCCTGCAGAATGGGCGTTTGTTGTGGAAGGATAGCATTCAGCGTCGATCTCATTCGTTCACAGGGTTGTTTCGACTCATTCCAGTCGTGATGTTCTCAGTTGAACCCTACGCAGTCTCTACTCCCCGCAATTGTCGGTGGGGAACTTCGCGATGTTGACATACTGAAATGACTACATATAAGAAGCAGTTCATCGGCACCGGAGGGGTAGGAATACCTTTCACTCTGATTTCCTGTCCACATGCCATTTAGCGGCCTACAGCAGATATTTATGCATTTCTTACCACGCATCCGTAAAGTCATCGACTCTAGGCGACAGATTGGCCCGGCACCAAATGGCAAAGCATCTACTTCTGACACAGGGGACTCGTAAGTTATTTCTTTACTACGTCGGGCCAGGACTTTTAAACATCCAACTGTAGCATTGTCTGTATTCAATCAAGTAATATCATCAGGCAAACGAACTACCCAACTGCCTCGGGTGGTCTTGGAGATGTTTACAAGTGTACATGGAACTGCGATGCAAGTTCGCAAGAGGTATTTCATAAATTCGTATTTTTGGCGTGTCTAACTCTGACTTCAGGTCGCAGTCAAATCCCCACGATTCCCAAATTTGAGTGATCATCAGGCAACTGTCAAAATCAATAAGGTATGTTGAGATACGGTCTGAAGGAACTTCATTTATTCTTGAATGCAGAACCTTGACCGCGAGATCCGTATCTGGGCCGTATTAGAGCATGAATATGTGCTGCGTTTGTATGGCACTGTAAAGGAATTCGGCCCGTTTCGCGCATTGGTTTCTCCCTGGATGCCGAACGGGACTTTGGACTCCTACCTCAACCGTACGTCTGTGACCCTCACGATGATGGGTAGGCTTCGCCTCGTGAGTTTTATTCTCGAAGCCGATTGCGAGAACTTGACTGTTTTCAATAGCTTCAACAAATCGCTGAGGGACTCAAGTATCGTGAGTGATGGATTGACTACGGAAGCGATCGATATAACTGATGCCTATGCTTCGGACAGTCCACGACAATAGCGTGATACACGGTGACCTGACCAGTGTAAGTTTACATATGCTGTGCATCCGTAATCCTCTGATCGTGATTGTAGAATAATGTTCTGGTTGCTGCCGATGGATCCCCTCGCCTTGCAGATTTCGGAATCTCGAATATCATGGTACAATCCAATCCTGCCTTTTCCTACCACACCGGTGCAGTACGTTGGGTCGCTCCGGAGCTCCTCGATCCCCCAGAAGGTCAACCTATACAATACGCAACCAACTCTAGTGACATATATGCCTTCGGTGGTATCATGCTTCAGGTCAGTCTCTCGTTAGCCTGCTGGTGACTCTCACACCCTCACCTGCAGGTCCTGTATGGGAAACAGCCCTACTGGTGGCTTAAGACCGCTATACACGTTGTTTCTGCAAGGTTCAAACACCTAGAGCCCATTGACTCCACCATCGAAATCCAGCCCAATCACTTGGATTTCATGCGGCGGTGTTGGTCAGCCGATACCAAGGTTCGTCCATCAGTGGACGGGGTACTAAACTACCTTCAAGTAGCACTGTCGAAGGAGACTTCGTCTGGATGAGGCCTCAGTTTTGAAGCGATCCTTTTTTCTGCCTTCTTTATATCAACATTGATTTTGCATCCTTTATACATCATACCAGTTAGTGTATGTTCTCAGTATTTCTCTATTATAAGCGCGACAGGTCGGCACCTAGTGTACAGGGTATAGTCATTTATGTGCCAGCAAACTACCTTACTCCTCATGACATACATAAACAAGGCAGCGTTAAATGCAGACGTCATTCCGATATACAGCATCCTTGACTACTCTGTTTGTTGCATTGTCGTTACTCTGCTCCTAAAAACTCCACAATCCCGGAGGCCCCTGGTCGATCTCCGACGTTGACAGATATACATTTCAATGAATACTCCTTATGTCCCTCTTCAACATCGGTGATTTGGCGGAAGGGTTCGATTCCTGCGACTCTTGCCGCAATAACATGAAACGCTTGCGTTAGCCAGCGGTAAGGTACATGCCCACAAAACAACTGCACGATATCAGTAACACAGCTTATATAGAATCGAATGTGGGTCAACACACCTGAAGCATGATGCAACCATATGAGTAAACATCGGCGGCTTTGGTTGGCACCACCACTCCCCCTGGCTCAGGCATAGCAAGCATCTCAGGTGCCATCCACCGCACGTTTCCTGGGTGGCATGAATTAAAGGTAGAGTTTTGCGATTCCGCAAGGATCATCGAGAGACCGAAGTCTGCAAGGCAGAGCTTCCCATCGTCGTTAATCAGAACATTGGTCTGTAAATCAAGTCGAGTTGTTCTTGAGACATCATCGCCACAAATTTTACACGTACACATGTTAAATCGCCGTGAACTACCCCTTTATCGTGTACTAACAAGTCGATGAGTACGTCTAATCTAGACACGGGAAAAATATAGATGTACAATACTTGAGGCCGGCCGCTATCTGTCTTAACTGAAGACCTATTAGAACTTATTCGGCTTTGCAAGAGACAGTGCGAACCATTCTCAGTTTGTCGCCCTTGGAAGGTACATGTCCCTGTTTCAGATAGACGTCGAGCGACCCATTTTCCATCCACGGAGAAACTAGCGCCGGAAGTAGCCCAAAGCCATCGATGATTCCGTTAAAGGTGAGAATATTGTCATGCACCAAAGTGATCCAAACATAAGCCTCGCGACGAATCCTCTATTGGGTGAGCAAATTCATGAGCACAAGGACTTTCATTAATTTCTTGCGCCCACCTTGCTTGCCCTATCCACCACTTGAGTATCACCTGCTTGAGGGATTCTAACTGATTTGACCGCAACCTTGAAGATTGTGGATATTGTGAATCCCCACCCATTCGCAGATGTATTTACCTTAGATGTCCCGGATTGTCGAGACCAAGAACATTTCCAGACATCACCAAGTCCTCCTGTTCCACTGGGGAACAGCTCGAGCTTTTTGATTTCTATCTCAGGAATATTAGGTGGTTCAATTTTGAAATCAACTCGGTGAGGGGCCTGGGAAGTGGAACTGTCATTTCTCTGCTGTCGAGGGTCATCTGTGACCGTCGTTCACATTGAACGCAGGGACATGAGCTTACCACAGACTTCTGAGAACAGCAATTACCCATTGCAAGGCCACACCGTGACAACGTTCAAGGTGGCGAAACGGTAGCTGTACGATGGCGTCGTCCAAGCGGCAACTTGATTTTGCAGGTATATATATATTTGAGAATCGAGACGTGCTACTAGGTCAGTGATATTATCACGGCAACCCAACGGCCGGCAAACCATGGGCCTGCTGTCGACAGGCCTTCTGCCTGCAGCATAGCTTCCAATAGTTTCAAGAAGTTCTGAACCAAGTTTATGTAAACGAAATAATTAATTTGCTACTAATTGTGGCAGTGTGGCACTGGCAAACAAGTGGCAAACTCAAAAACTGGTACATAGCATCCTTCACGAATCTGTGGCAGTGCACCGGTGGATGTCAGTATGTTGCTTCCGCGCAACTTCCGCGATTTCGTTCATCGATATTGGAAATTCCATGGTCATTGGTGAGAGACTGGGGAGTGTTCTGGAGTATTGTGTACACTTCCCGCAGTGGGCTATCCAATACTGCATACATACTTCCGAATATTACATCATTATATTGCAGCAGCCCAAAATGTTCTGTCACGCAAAGATAGGTCTTCCATCAGACCATCACGATTTATGATCGCGAAGGATCCTTCTGATGCTGCACTCATTGCCACAGGTTACAACACCTACCGTTCTTCAGTGCTCTGGGAGTTCTCAAAGGTATGTAAGATATGTCATACCGTATACAGCAAAACATGGGTCCTGTGCAATGGACTGTGGTTCCTACCTACTAATCTGCACACTTGGCCGCTCCCTTATCAGTGAGTCACTGAGCGCTCAGCGCTGAGGTTCGCCACGGGAAAGTCCACAGGACCTGGACCATACCGTTTTCTTAGTTCTTATCTACTAAATGATGAGAACGCTCGCTGAAACACTGGGGATCCAGGACAGCGGCCTCGTGTAACGCAGTGTAAGGGGTCCTAGGCTAAGGTCAATTATCCTGAACTGCACCTCTTTGTCGTACTCAGGGATTTTCGAAGGAGACATTTAGGGAGCGGAGAACATTTCAGTGTGACTCGTTCTAGGAATTGCACTCGTCCAACCTCATCTGGGGTTCTTAGAACATCCGATGAGTCGAGACAGATTTCTGAGCTTTCTTGAGTTAAGCGCGCGTCTTTCGGATCTATCACTTTTACCTTGGCATCGAAGGCAAGTGCCCAGGATCTCAGATGTGGCTTTTGACATCCTGGTTCCGATACTCTAGGTGCATTCGACAATCGGCCACTAGAACTCATCGAAGACGAAAGCAATGCCACCATCCCCTTACCTAATTCCAATTTCCTTTAACAAACTCTCCAAGCTACGCAGAGCTCAAATAACTCCAGGAATCATGATCGCGTTTGGAAGATGCAGCGGTTCGAGGACAGGGTTGGATGGAGAAGTTACGACAAAGTGAAGAAGATAAGGCGGCGGCCGGTCAGCAACTGAGAATGGGGGACTCGAGCGTCAATCTGTCATGTGTACGATACCTTCCTCCCGAGTTTGATGGAAGACGTGGAAACCTATGCAAGACATTGAATCGCACACAGCCTATCACGGTTTTATGTCACGGTTCATGTCACACTTAGGCCTCGAGGCCTCACTACTAACCTAACTAAGCCCTCAGGCGCCAGGCCAAACGGGTCTGATATAGTAGGGCCTCATACTATGACTGTGGTATTTTTGTGTTGACAGCATCCGTTGTTAATTTGTCTGTTCCACAGCAGTAGGCATATATAAGGACGCCTGTTTCATCTACTTCACCTCACCAGTTGTCTCAGGCTAGCACCCGTCAGTTGATGAGACCCAATGGGTGATCGCCCCGCCATGAGTCGATATGTAAGTATTAATTTTGCTTGTGCGTTGACGACAGACTAATATTAGGAGGAGACCAACGTCACAGTTGAGTTCAAAGTCGAACCGTTCCATATTCCTGCGACAGCCATTCGAAAACTCGAACAGTTTGCTAATGGTTCAGGAGGGCTCGGTGACGTCTGGAAATGTTCCATGTCTACACAATCTGAGACCCGCACTGTAAGTTTATAAGCAATGGCTACTAGAAGATTCATTATTGATCACAATCAAGGTCGCTGTCAAATCGATCAGGATCCCTCAATCAAATGATAAAGAACTAGTAAAAAGAACAGGCAGGGTTAGGGCATGAAGTAGTCGCAGTTCTACTCGCTGATGGTTTTGCTCACCACCCCAGAGAATTCGCCGCGAGGCTTATGTTTGGATCAAGTTGTCGCACGACCACATTCTCCCTTTCGAGGGTGTTACCGAAGAATTTGGGCCACTTCCTTCATTGGTTTCTCCATGGATGGAAAACGGATCACTGAATTATTATTTGAGGCGCGAGTTTTCCAAACTGACTGAACTTCGAAAACTAGACCTTGTAAGTGGATTGCTATCGCATCGACTTTATAAGTGCTTACCCATGACTTCAGATGCAGCAGGTGGCTGCTGGTCTTGGTTATTGTGCGTTCCGTTGTTAAAAATGTAGTGAGGGCACCATATACTGAAGACTGTTATACCCTAGTGCACGGGCAGCACGGCGGGGGCATCGTGCATGGTGACTTGACAGGGGTAGGTCTCATCCTGACCTACATGTGGTGCTGTGGCTGAATTCAATGAATTGTGATCAGACCAACATTTTTGTTGATAGCTCTGGTTGCCTCCGTCTCGCGGACTTTGGTCTGTCGATGATCCTCGCCGAGGCGGAAAATACTACGTTCAACTCCTGTCATCCAGGAAACACACGTTGGATGGCCCCTGAGGCTATTGACGCTCAAGACGAGAAGCCAACCAAAGCTGGAGATATTTATTCGTATGGCTGCGTGATGTTGCAGGTTTGTCGGATCATTAATCCTTGGAATAGCTTTCTCACAATAGTCCTAGATCTTCTCGGGAAAGCAACCTTACGAGAAGATCAAAACTGTAGGTGCCGTTATGAACGCAATCATTCAAGGACGTGAGCCTTTTGATGGAATACAGAGTCGTGGGGTGTGTGGACAGCTCCCAACGCGATGCTTGAATAGGAGACCAGCTGAGCGCCCAACGATTGACGATGTCATGCGAGATCTGGGTCACCGTAATTAGTTTTGTATTGTTATCGGTCATATCAGTCAGAACATCCATACCAGAAAGAACCACGCAAAGAGGTGCAGTCTTACTTCTCCAACAGTGCCGGACTTGCCGTCTTATTTGCTGGAACTACAGTAGTCACCGTTGGCATCGCGAAGTCGGAAAATCATCAACTGATAGTTGCTCCACTTGATGCCTTTAGAACGAGCAGCCATGTGCTAGAAGGCCAGAATTCATCGTGGATCTCATTAACTCATGCCGGTTGGGGTTTCCCTGGTGAACCCTTCGCAATTCCTACTCCCCGAAGCTCACCTCTCCGCACGGCATACAATGAGCCCATCAGAATTCTTGAGGCGTGTTCAGGGATGTGGAGGTATAGAAAAATCCCCAAACTACGCTGTTGCACGAAACATCGGCCTCAGTGGATGAACTCTATGTCAGCCACGAAAGACTGCCTGTGGTTTGATTTCGAGCGCCGGGAAATATGCGCTGATTCTACTGCCTCTACGATAACAACTCGAGGCAGTGCCTATATGACTCGTGTTGTTGGGTCCAGTGCAAGTCCACTGTTTATTTTAAAGATGCCCATAATCAGTAGTGGCCAAAAGTGCAGGTGCCGTTATGGGCGCAATGTTCCGAGGTTAGGAGCCTTTCAACGACATGGAGAGTTATGGGGTGTATGGACAACTGTCAATACGATGCTTGAATAGGAGACCAGCCGAGCGCCCGACGATCGACTACATCGTGCGAGATCTGGGTCCCAGTAATTAGGTTTGTGTTGTCGCGAGATATCGGTGTGATATAATGTACTATATGATAGCGATCCTTTGCAATATTTCTCGTGCGCAGGTCTGATTCTGAACTTCGTGCGAGTCGGTGGAGCCCCAAGACCCTCCTTGCTCTTTGTCCCCGAGCAAGAATTAAGGCGTGCACCCACTCGCGTGAAAACACATTCGCGTCCCTAGCCAAACGATGTCATATCGTCCCATAAGACAGCGAGCCTGGATGCGGGTGTGCATGCGAAGGTATGATGGGTTTCGCTTTTACAGTATTATGAGTCACAGGTACCGAGCCCCCGGACATGCGAGTCTATATTATACTCAGAGACACTATTCTATGAGAGCATGGAGGTAGTCAGAATAAATAAGGCATGAAAAAGAAACACTTTCGAATCGAGACCTTACGTAGATGAAGTTTCATGGGAGATAGCTTTCTCGAGAAAGTCTAACACGTCATCCACTGATGGACGATTGTCACTCTTGATTGACCAGCACCGCCGCATGAAATCAAGGTGATGTGCTGGAATTTGCATGGTGTCAATAATGGGCTCTTGGTAATTGAACTTTAATGCCACGACTTGCAGGGCAGACTTGATCCACCAGTAGGGAAGTTTCCTGTATAACACCTACAGAACCTGTCAGGTGTCGTAAACAACGTAAATATGAGACTGGCCTGAAGCATGATACACCCAAGAGCATATATATCACTGAATTTAGTGGCGCATTGCACAGTTTGGCCTTCCTGATGGACGATAAGCTCCGGAGCGGCCCAACGAACAGCGCCGGTGTGGTAGGAGAATGCCGGGTTGGACTTTACCATGATATTCGAAACACCGAAGTCTGCAAGGCGCGGGGATCCATCGGCAGCAACCAGGACATTGTTCTACAATCGTGATCAGAGGATAATGGATGCACATCGTATGCAGACATACACTGGTAAGATCACCGTGAATCACGTTGTTATCGTGGACTGTCCAAAGCATCATCATCACTTCAGCCCATGATTGCCATAGCCAATCCGTTGCTCACGGTATTTGAGCCCCTCCGTAATCTGTTTAAGCTTTGAGAAATAGTAAGCTCCGGTAATAGGCTTCGTACAAAAACTTACAATGTGAAGGCTACCCGTCGTCGTGAGGGTTTCATGCACACGATTAAGGTAGAAGTTCAATGTTCCATTCGGCATCCAGGAGGAAACCAATGAGCGAAACGGCCCAAAATCTGTTGCGGTGCCATGCAGACGTAATACATATTGATGTTCCAGTAGGGTCCATATCTTGATTTCGCGGTCAAGATTCTACGTTCAGAGTTCAAACAGAAATGAAATTCAGGCACGTGGCAGTAAACACACATGGTTTATTTTGGCAATTTCGGCTTCAGTCAGACTTGGAAACCGTGGCGATTTGACCGCAACCTGAGCATAGAGTGAGCACAAACATGGAGATGATGAATGTGTGAGATACCTCTTCTGAACTTGCGCCCCTGTTTAGCAATGTACATTTGTACACGTCTCCAAGCCCACCCGAAGCTATCGGAAAATTGGTTTGTCTGATGACGATGCTTGGGTCCAGAACGAAAGAGCCGTGCGTTGATGTCTGAGGAGTCGTGATCTGAATTAAAGAGACAAGTTGCGAGCCATCTTTCTCAGAAATGGGATGGCATCCACTTTGGTCATCTTCGGGGGGTATAGACAAGGGATGTTTGAAAGGTCGATCATCAGAAGGCCGAGCAGCATCGGATGCTTGGTCACTTCGCCGCAGGCTAATCTGTTACTGAGAGTGAGCGGGGTCAAAGAAAGTAGAAGTAGATTCGATGTACAAGAAACTTCACAAGAGCCAGCATACCGATCCAAAAAAAGAACAGAAGCACAGAGGGATGGAGTCTGACTTCCCTGGCGATAGTGGCCGTCTTATACGCAGGTGGTACCGTTGACATTCCGAAGTTGATCAACCGATAGCTTCGGGGATTTGGAATATCAGACAGCGCACCACCAGCTGACACGAGTGAATGAGATCCATGCTGAATGAATGAGATCTACGTTGAATGCTGGCATTTCACCACACAACTGCCCATTCTAAAGGCGTGGAGTGGAGAAACCTACCTCTCGGCAGATAACGAGCCCATCAGACTTCTTGAAGCGTGTTCAGGGATGTGGAGATACCGAAAATTTTCCAAATTACACTGTCGCGTGAGGGCCCTCCTGGCGGAGAGATGGACGTAAACCTCGAGAACCAACTCTATGTCAACCATGAAAGGCTGTCGTTTGACTTCTAGCGCCGAGAAATATGCACTCATGTTGAAATGAATGATTCTACTTCCTCTGCGATAGTAATAACTCAGGGCGGCACCTACATATCTGACTCGTGTTGTTGCGTCCACTGCAAGTCCAGGCAAGTCCAATGTTTGAATTGTGCCCATAGCCGGCAGAGGGAAGTTACGTACCAATCGTCGATCAAGCTGCTCGATAGTAGTCCGTTCGTGGGTCATCATCGATGACATCCACGAGAATTTGAGTGGCGTGCGTACCTAAGCTTAGGGTTTGTGATCTCTCAAGTGAAGCTTCTTAGAATGCCGTCCATGGAAAACCCTGGCCCCGCTGATCGCGGCTTCTCTGCCTTGCTTCTTGGGGGACAAAGTCACTACCTGGGGTTCGATGAGAACACTGTGTCGGTGGTATTCTCCCCGAAATGTTCTACTCTTTCGAAAGCTCAGGGAGGGGCCATATTTCAGGTGCGTGGATCAGATGGATCATCAATGCTGAGTCACTCATCTCCCTGCGGGGCTTGTGGGCAGAGTCTAATCGCTGGACATGAGGCGATAGTTCTCACAAGGAAAAAAGGGCCAAATAAAACCTCCATCATTACTGGACCAATTCGATATTTTGTCCATCGCGTGTAAATTAAGTCTCATTTGCGTCCACCAAACTGAGGTCAGATATAGTTATGAAGGGCATGAATCGGATGACTGACTGTTGAGTAAGTCTAGGCAGATGTGACAGAAGTATGGCGCAGTGCGATACACGTTACGCAGTAACATCGTCCAGGCGTGTCATATTCAACACCCCCTTACCGAATCCACTCGCAACTGCTTCAAATCCATTATCTTGCACATCCGAGAGGAATAGCTCGTGTTGATCTGCCATCCTCTCATTGTTCCTCCGAATCTCCTGGATGACACCATGTTGTCGTGCGCAAAGCGGGCATTCTGTCTCATGGTCCAGCAGGCACCTGTATAAATGCGCGTCAGCATTGGCATCACAAAGGAGAGAATGTGATTTTGAGGAAAGGACGATAACAGTTCAAATAATGAAGAGGCCAAATACGTACCGCTGATGATATGAATGGTTGCACATGAAATGGACACTGGGCAAGTCGAGCTGCCCACTACATTGGGAACAGCGCGTCACACTAAACACTTTGGCGTGCATCGGGTCCTCTAGTTCCGCCACTTGTTTCAACTTTGCGTTCGTCTCCAGCCGGTAGGAGTTAATCAGTTGCTGGTCCTGTCGCGCGAAAAATTATTCAGCGCGGAAACAAGAGAGAAATAGAAAGGACTCACAGTCTGCACTTCTTCCCTTGCCTCTTTGATGCGTCCCATGAGCCAGTCCTTGACAAGTCCCACACTCGCTACTCCATTCCTACTCAGTACCTGCACCACGCCAAGCGGAGGCATTATCCGCTCTTTCTCGATATGCTCCAGGATGTTCTCCACATCGGCCTGGTGCCGCGTAAGAAGCTCCGGCGTGCTTGTCAAGAAGCGTAGCACGAGCTCATAGAGGTGCGGGTGCGATGGGCCATATCGTGCAAGGGCCTGCACGACTTCAGTCGACGCGGAGGCCTCGGATGGCGACGCGTTGTGCTTGTCCATCCAGAACCGTAAGATGTCCTCGTACATGCCCAGCTTCTCCCAGAGTACAACCAGACCTCGGGTGTAGATGTAGCTGCTGCAAAGAATCAATGCATGTGTCTTATCGCACGGCAAGGAGTCGCTTGTGAGAACTTTGAGTGCATTGTCCTGTTGTTCTTGGGAGCCTCCATCAAGATAGAGCTCAAGAAGTGTGTTCCAAACCGCTGCCTGATCCCGCTTTTCCGAGTCCTCGTCTTCGTCCGAACTGGGATTGGGAAGAGATGATGGAAGGGGTGAGAGCGACTGTCCCCACCGACGTGCAGCTACGCTCTCCAGGAAACGAACAAAGTATGATGGGTGGTCGACGAAATGCGCGAAATAGAGCGTAGGCGAGGGCCGTTTCTCTTTCAATGGTGGAGGCGCACTAGGCTGCGTCATTTGGGGCTCTGCAGGCTCTCCCTCTTCGTCCGCTTTAGATTCCTCCACTTTGTCTTCAGGCGCAGGTACGCGGGAGAGGGCAAGGTACGAAAGGTACGATGGGGCGTTTGCCGGTGTGCTCGACTGCTGGGAAGTAGTGTCTTCCACTTCTGACACGGCGAGGGGCCCAGAAACGGTGCAGAGATCAATTAGAAGCTGCGTCGTCTCCTCTGGGAGATTGTCCAACATAGCACGTCCGTACCTCGCGAGGTTACTCTCTGCCTGCACAAATATATTAGACTTGGACTGAAAAAATAAGATGAAGCAGGAACAACGAAGATCAGACCTACCGCGTCTGCTCCCAAGTGTCTCAAATACGTCAATGCCTCACCATACTTACCGGCGTCCTCGATCATAACCCTCAAATACTCCTCATGCCGCCCGTACCGCTTCGCAAGGTAACTAGCATGTTCGAAGTACCCTGCCTGTCTGCACACCCGTATAGCAGTGTCCAGGTCAAATGGAAGGTCGCCTTTCGACTCCGCCGCATCAGAGCGCCGAGACTCTGTTTTAATGAAGCTGTCAAGGCGTGTGACGTCTTTGAGTTTGGTGTAAGTGTTAAGTAGAAGAGTAGTATGATCAGCGTTTGCGAGGCCAAGGGCATGTAGCTCTTGCAGGTAGGTAACGAGATTGTGTATGCGCTGAGCGTCCAGGAACTGCACCACCATTGTCAGACTTGTCGTGATCAAAAACTTGATAAAAAGCTGACCTTTCTAACGACGTAGCTTGGTTTCACCCACCCTATCGTCTTCACATAGCACGCCATCGCGCCGTCCCAATCTCCCTTTGTGTAGAGATAGTCGCCGTGCTGACGGTGGATGTCAGCCACGTAGTTTTCGTCGAGGTGTTGTGTTTGCGCAAGACTGAGCGCGAGTGGGTATAGAGCCTTCGCGTACAGCATGGAGAGTTTGGCAGAAGTGGATTTCTCGGCGAGGCGGGTAAGCTAAACAAGGGCAGCAACGTCATATTAAGAAGGACAAAAGCAACCCACAGTTCTGAATACTGAAGGGACGCACCTGGCCATTATTCGTGAGGATGTAAATATTTCCCCACTCCGAAATCACCTCTCTGACACCCTCCGCAAACATTCCGGTGTATCCTATTACCTTATTTTCCATGTCAAACACAGTCACCTTAGATGCATCGCCGTCTCCCCCTCCCGCTGCCGCTGCAAGCTTACGCGTAGCAGCTGATGGCGCTGTAACCGTTGAGGGTGGTGAGACAACTATTACATAGTTAAGGTGGGTGTGAATGGACGACTTGTAGCCTGCGAAAGACAAAGCATCAGCACCCAGCACTAAGTTTCGTACCAAACAGCTTACCTTCGTATGCATATGGCGGCTCCCTCCCCTGCAAACCATGCGCATATACTGCCTCGTCTCTCGCAAGCACGATCTTCTCAGCGCGCCAATCCATCACCGCACATCCCAGGCCGCATCCGATGTCGTCCAGCAGCACGCTAGACCCTCCACTCCCTTTGCCGGACACGTGGTACAAGTACACCGAATTCGTAGTCACAATGAAAAGATGCACGTTGTTGTCCTTGGCGTCTGTGTTAGCGGGAGGTTCCCGGAAGCCGAGGCCTGTGATGGGTTCAGAGGAAGATTCATGGATGGTGCGTGTCTTAGGGAGGGAAGTCAGGGATGCGGTGGGAGATAGTGACTGGTCCAAGTGTCTATAGAGTAGCACCGTCCCGTCGGCCAAGCCGATGGCAAGGAAAGACAGCGCAGAAGAAAGTGCAAAGCAAGAGACCTAAATGTGCTAGTTCATCGAATGGAACATGAACACAGTGAATCACTCACTGGATGGGGCTTATTGCTAGGCTGGACCTTGGCCGATCTCAACAAAACCGGTGCTTGGTTTCTCTTGTCCGTCTTCCCAAGATCCCAAATCTTCACCAAACTACCTCGTACTGCGTCCTCCTCCCCAATAGTCACCAATATGTCACTCCTCTCCGCCATGTGCGTTACTCGTCCTCCGACATGTGCGATCCAGCTTGTAGTCGATATGAAGTCCTTGTTTAGAATGTGCACGCTGCCATGAATATCCGCAACGAGCAACCCAGCACTAGATGAGACGACAGTTGAGATTTCTGAGGCGTTTTTGAAGATCTCGGGTGAGCTAGCAAGGTCATGGACGTCCTTTACAGGGTGAACATCGAAGAAAGCGAATTGGCGAAGCTGAAGAAGGGTCTATTGACTGAGAGCGACTACGATGTCTGAAATGGCCAACATACCGCAGTTGCAGCGACAGCAGTTGTATTTGCCATCGAGCTCGCTATATTAATGTTGAACCTATTCTGCTTCGAGTAAGTAGTACTGTGAGAGCGCTGACTCTGAGATAGTATGCCGTAAATACTTGATGAGCGTTCATGCACATGAATAACAAAGTATGCATACTATCTGATACGTCATTCAAACTAATACAAGTAACATTTTTCCTCTACTCTGCTATATTTGACGTGTCAAATGACGAGGTCATTCATCGTGAAGAATAGCTACGATCTGCCAAGCATCTAGGGAATCCGTGCATTGAGGTGAAGACTTCAGGGAACTAGTAGGAGAGAGTTTTTTGAGAGTAATGTGAGTGCATGAGAACTTGCGAACATATCGTACATGACCGCGAGTAGAAATTGCGAGAAAACTGGCCATGAATGGATCCTGAGATGCACGAGAAAGTCAAGACTTTTCCTCTGACAGTTTCAGCTGACCCTGTATAAATTCCTGGACCACCTTAGCTGACGGCCGATAATCCGCATCAATCCAGCACTTCTGCATGAAATCCCACAGAGAATCCGCAATAGGCGGTGTCACTGGCCGAGCAGGCTTCTGGCCTCTGAGTATCCGCACGGTAACTTGATGGTCGCTTCGATATTCAGAATACGGAACTCTTCCTGTGAAGACCTGCAAGAGAATGGGAATCGCATTCCACGTTACCAGATTCGCCCACAAACCTGCAGCATAATGCACCCGAAGGAATAGATGTCCGATGCCAATTGAGGCGAACTTGTTGACTCTTCATCTTCCGGGACTTGGAAGTTTTCGGGTGCGGCCCATCGCACATTGCTTCTGATATAGGACGTGCCATGGAGCTCTGAACAAAAAAGGAGAATGCCATGGTCAGCCACCAAGGCGTTGCCGTTCTCACTGATGAGAATGTTGTTCTGAGTTGCGTCGTTAATGTCTTTTAGGAAGGAAAACTCCGTGGTACTCACGCCGGTGAGATCACCATGGACTATGTTTTTGGAGTGCACTAACGTTCACATAAGCTTTACGCCAAAAACTGACGTTGGACGCGTACAGTACTGCAGAGCTGAAGCGACATCGTTGAGCTGTAACAAGAAATATTCAGATGCGTCCCCGTGCCATGAAACAAACACCCACGATTTGGAGTTTTCGAGTGAGAGTGAGTTGTTGGAAATCACGTTCCAGAAGCGCAGTAAGTGAGCCTTTCTGCATCCATGGGGATACGATGGCAGGCAGCAGGCCAAATCCTTGAGTGATTCCCAGCACCGGCAGCAGATTAGTGTGTTCGAGCTGAGTGTTCCGCTGTAGCTCATGTTCGAGCCTCTGGATTGTCGTACTTTAGCAAATGAACGCATGGTACTTGCAGGTGGAGCCGTGCAAACCTCAGTAATTTGTTTCTTCGAATCATCGTCCGGAACCTCAAGTCTCAGACACTTTACCGCAACCTGATAGACGAGGAGTCAGTCAGTCATGAATGCAAATTAGCGGTGCAAACATGAGGGACATGCCTCTGATCGAGGGCGTATGCGTATGCACTTCCACACATCCCCAAAGCTGCCTTGTGCGACAGGGTATCGGGATAATTCTTTGCTAATTTGCCCAGTGAGGTCGAGCAGACTACTACATCCGCATATACTCAGTAAACTTGTGCCATGTAAATGGATAAAAGAACAGACAGATTCTTGTCATTGACGTTCGCTTTTTTCGAACCAAATTTTAATCTAAGACTGGCAAGCAATAAGAGCAACCTCCTCTGCCAATTCTTCAGCCAATCGCGGAACCGAGCGGAAAACAGGACCTTCATGTGTAATATCTGAAGAGGAAAATACGGGATATGATGTCCCAGTGGTGGTAACCTAGTGCGAGAACGGATGAAGTCACAACCTGTAAGTAAATGTCTGCGGCAGGCATACCTGGACCTTGGAGGAGTATGACGACTTCCTGGAGAGGGGTGTCGGAGTAAGCAGTGCTGCTATCCACCGATGAAGGTGTCAGGCTTATTTGGCCACTGGCAACGGCCTATTGAATGTTGACGCTCATCCGAATAGCCGTGGGACACCTCGTTAGCGCAAATGTGCATCGTGGGGTCTCGCCATGTAATTTCAAAGGAAGGTAAGGGGTCTAATGACTCTTCTTGTATGTCACTGCCGCGGCGTATCAAGGAAACTGGGATGCTTGAAAAACTCCACGTTTGTCTGTACTCCAGTGGATACTCTCAGAGGACTTTCGATGACGTGCCCCGAGGTGAGTGAGGGTCTTGCTATCCCATATAAGTACGGTACTGAGTGGCGACCAATGGCTATTTGTGCGGCAGGCCCGACTATGAACCCTTGCATCATGCCCAGATCAATCAGATGGGCCACTGTGCAGGCGTCTGTGAGCTCAGGGACTTGCCTTCTCGTCGGGGTTCCGAATTCTCGATCCCGGATGCTATTGGCATTGCCTTGGCCCCTGCAAGGGTTGTTCATACTTATCGTAGAATGGTGCGAGCGCTATATGATACGCACAGTTCGCAGATTCCCGGCATTCCGCTTTTCGTTTTATCCAATTAGGACGGGAGGATCATCGAGATCCTTCTAAGTCAGTAACTTGCGCCTCGTGAATGCGTGTTCCACGGATTCAGACGCCCCAAGGCAAAACTCTGGCGCGAATGATGGGCAGACATTAAATACCTGTGGTAGGCCATTTCATTCTCAATACCATATATACTAAAAGTTGCATGAATACTTTTACATACAGACACCTCGTGTCACTCAGACGCCCATATTCATCGCTTCACTCATGATCGAAGCAGTGTCTGGGCTGTGGGTCTACGTAACACAATAGTTTTTACCCAGATCGAACAAGTACTTCTCCGAGTCAGCCCTCCTATTTCACGCAAGATTCCTGTGTAGCAAGCTGCCTCAAGGAGTCAAGGTGCATTCAGCACGTGCAAAACATGCGCTAATACGACATCTGCATCCCAGAGGCTATTGCTGGAACCCGCGGCCGTCATCTATTCCCCCTTAACCTCCCTCCCATCGACTCAGAAAACAAGGTCCGAAAATACCACTGCGATGGCTGCCTCCTCTGCTCCTCTCCACATTTTCAGTACGAATCTCCCACTTACCGAGTATCTCATCCTTGAACATCTTACTTCCTAGGTATTGTGACCCGCATCGACGATGCTTCGAAGAAGAAGGTCGAATTTGTGGAGTTGGAGCTTGGTTCACAGCGACAGGAAGTCCTCCGCGGCTCAGGCAAAGACAAAGAACTCAGTGCAAAGTTCGATCACGCCATGTGAGTCCCACCTATAGCTGTCCAGACATTCGGTCGGAACAGTTTACCACAGCGCGGTGACCACTGAGCAGGCTTCGTTATGGGTACACTGTCAACACCATTCTATGGGCGTGCTTCCGTGGAAGAGTATCGTGAAGTTTCCATTGGACAGACAAGACATTTTGTCCGATATAGTGGATCAAGATGGTAAACGAGGTGACGCAACTCGTTTCCGACCGTGTCGCATTAAGTTGATAGCTTGATGTTACAGTGCACGAGATGACTAGAAAGAAGATGAAGATGACTGTCGTCATTACAATATCGTCAGTGTATTTGAAGATATTTTGTCTCAAAAAACAAACTGAGTATCCTTGTCCTATCAGCGATAGTGTTCATACCAGACAGCTGCAGCCGACTAGCAGTGATATTCTAGAGATTTGTCCAAGGTTCCGACTGCTGGTAATAGGGAAGGTGTGTCGGATCACTGTCTTCAAGCATAGATCGCTCACGCACCCGCTTTGTAGACTGGGGTTGGCAAGTCATCGTTGATCCACCAGGCATTTAAGATAGACGAAGTGGTTAAGTTGACGAAATTAGTACCGTGGACGACAGATGCTGACGCTCGCCCACCCAGCATGTCTCTGGACATTCGCGAGGCGTAGCCGATATCAATCGGGAGTTCGTCGCGCCACAAAACAGGCGATTTGTCCTCCACGATAGTGAGGGATTCGAAGCTGGCGACACTGGCAGTTTTGCGGCTGCAAAAGAATTCATCGGCTGCCGACGCAACATGCCCGCGCTGAAGGACAAAATCCATGCGGTCTGGTACGATGTTGTAGCTGCCACCGCCACTCTACCATGCTAACACTGTTTGTAGGCTCTGCCTCTCGATACCTCATTCCGATGGACGGCTGCTCGAGAGCGGAGTAAAGGAGTTTCTAGAATTGAGGAAGGAAATTCTGGGCAATAGTGCGCATTATTTATATCTTATCTTCATAACTAATGTTTCAAACTGTAGTTCCGGTCATCGTTGTCTTCACCAAGCATGACGTTCTCCTCGACACATTGGAGCTCGAAGCCATAGATTTGGAAGATTGTTATGGCACCGCACTCGAAAATCTTAAACGGGACAAATTGAATAATCTGTGCATCAAGCCACTCACGGACGCAGCTGGAAGCGATGTCCTGCACGCAGCTGTTTCAAGTAAGGAGCGTTCACTTCTCTAGTCTCCGATTCTGATGTACCTAGCAGCAAAGAATGGATACGAGAACACCGTACGAGAGCTGATCGATCTCACAACCACCAACGTGGAAAAATTTGTCGCCTCAGAAGCGGCATTAGCTATGATGATAGCCCAGCGAGTAGACATCAGTCTTAAAATTAAGGCATCAATCGCGTACGCACGATGGCTATACTTTTGGTAGAACCTTAATTCACACTACTCTTCACAGCATCGGCGAGAAAAGTTAGTCTTGTCAGTGTTCGAAGCCGTTTTGTGACTTGTGAATTCTTAGGATATTGGAGAGGTCTCGCTTCGAGCATGGACTTCGCGGGCTTCACCATGAAGGACTGTTTGTCTGTGATCCACAAGGACGTCATTGACGTTTGGAACTTCAATGACCCTCACGATGTAAGATGTCTATCTTGTATAGGTTCATATCTCAGGTTGCTGACATGTTTTTGCAAAGCACTTAGCCAGTAGCAAGTTCCAAGAACTGATTCTAAACGATTTGGACAAGGAAGAATTTCCAAACACCGCGGGATCTTTGTAAGTTGTTGTACTTTGAGATGCTTTCAGTTTATGGAGGCATTAGCAGCAAATTTGGCCTCTCCGTGGTCGGGGCGATAATAGGTATTATGACGCCGCTGGCAGCCCCGTTTCTACCGATCGTTGCGCCAATTGCCGCAGGAGTCGTCATGGCTAAGTGGGTCTATGACATCTATCAACAGACGTGAGTGAATGCACGTTTTCTCCATTTGAAACGTGTTCAGAACAGCCTATAAACCGATCTAGAAACATTACCCTGCGGCGGATGATGGCGTACATCGTGGATTTAACATGTATCATGCAGATTGCGTTCCTGCTAGCGCCGACAGGGCCCATCTCTCGTCGTGTCATCAAGATTGCTATCAAAGCCTACGACGAGGCGGGGAAAAGCAGTGTTCATTCGGCAATTCACTCGCATGTACCTTTAACCCGTAGCGGAGGAGATGATGCGCTGGAGGAGATTGTTAAACTGATTCAGCGCCACTCCATCAAGGCTGAAGAAGTCCAGGACCTGAGAACGAAGATAGGGCCACACATGGTGGGGTTGCAACTGGACGAAGAGTGGTGAATGGTCATCATGATAGATATCGGTCATTATAGTTTCTGTAGTTTGATACCCTGCACTTATGCTTTGTAACGTTCCATGCACGCGCTCATCTCGAGTCAAGGCCTTTATTTAAACCCTCTGACTTGGTCAGTTTCATCAACCAGTACAAAAGGGAGTGACGGCTCCAAGCACTGTACAAGCTCGGTCTGCGTAGGCCAAGTTCAAAGCACAGCAGTCTGAATATTGTCACTTTGACCGTTGTCCGGCAGAAATAACTGTGAGTACAATATGTCAGTACGAGGTTCACTTAGACTACTAAGGGTAGCGAGAAAGTGGAGCATACAATGGGTTAGGCAGTGGGACGGACACTTTCTCCTCCCGCACCTGTAGTAAGGGAGGTGAGCTGCAGGGTTGCCAGTGAGACTCCAGTGAAAAACCCTCACTGACAGGTCTCGACTCTGTCTCTGATGGGACATGAAGGCAGTTCAGTCTTAGACCGCTGGAGGAATGCGACTTCAGCTCATATTTCACAAAGAAAGCGATGAGTGGATAAAGTAGAGGAGAATGGAAGATACACCGACTGAGTACTGTTGGGGGGAGCGGAACTTAGTCGAGGTACGAAGACAAGCTGATAGAACTACTAAATTACTATCGGATACCACATTTTGCCCAACTTCGACTTCAATTTTTCGCTTTGAATTGTAATTGTCGGAGTCTGTGTGACATAGGCTACGGTATGATGTGACATCGATAATCAATTATTTAATTATTAGGGGAGCTCAAAGTTTAACGTTGAACGCCCAACCTCGTAGTGTTGGTATCTGCTCAAGGCTATTTCAGCACAAATAGATAATATGTAGCCTTCGCGTACAGCATCCCACCGAGAGCTTGGGATAAGTATACATTCCCCACTCCAGAATGATACCATCATACTTACATTCAGACACTCTACTGGCAGTGGCTGCTCAATCTTGCTTAGTCAAGCCGATCGGAAATCAAAACCATCTACTTAGCTCAAACTTAGCTAGTCAAGCTATTCTTCGGCTAGTCTAACTTTTGTACTACTATCGAAGCGCCCATCCAGCGTGCGATTATACTATGTTCGCGTGCCTTCGCGGCTGTCATCCATTCCCTCCTCCCGTTCACTGGAAAGTCGATGTCTGAAACTTATACCACTGCCGCCGTAGCTGTCTCCTCTGTCCATCTCCACATTTCCAGTAAGAATCTCTCATTTACCGAGTATCTCACCCTTAAACATCTTACTTCTTAGGTATTGTCATCCACGTCGACGATGCTTCGAAAAAGATGGTCGAATTTGTGGAGTTGGAGCTTGGTTCACAGCGACAGGAAGTCCTCCGCGGCTCAGGCAAAGACAAAGAACTTAGTGCAAAGTTCGATCACGCCATGTGAGTCCCATCTATAGTTGCCCAGGAATTCGGTCTGAACATTTTACCACAGCGCGGTGACCACTGAGCCGGCTTCCTTGTTGGTACACTGTCAACACCATTCTATGGGCGTGCTTCCGTGGAAGAGTATCGTGAAGTTTCCATTGGACAGACAAGACATTTTGTCCGATATAGTGGATCAAGATGGTAAACGAGGTGAACCAACCCGTCTCCGATCGTGTCGCATTAAGTTGATAGCTTGATGTTACAGTGCACGAGATGACTAGAAAGAAGATGAAGATGACTGTCGTCATTACAATATCGTCAGTATATTTGAAGATATCTTGTCTCAAAAAACAAACTAGCACCCTTGTCCTATCAGCGATAGTGTCCATACCAGACAGCTGCAGCCGACTAGCAGCGATGTTCTAGAGATTTGTCCAAGGTTCCGACTGCTGGTAATAGGGAAGGTGTGTCGGATCACTGTCTTCAAGCATAGATCGCTCACGCACCCGCTTTGTAGACTGGGGTTGGCAAGTCATCGTTGATCCACCAGGCATTTAAGATAGACGAAGTGGTTAAGTTGACGAAATTAGTACCGTGGACGACAGATGCTGACGCTCGCCCACCCAGCATGTCTCTGGACATTCGCGAGGCGTAGCCGATATCAATCGGGAGTTCGTCGCGCCACAAAACGGGCGATTTGTCCTCCACGATAGTGAGGGATTCGAAGCTGGCGACAGCGCCAGTTTTGCGGCTGCAAAAGAGTTCATCGATTGCCGACGCAAAATGCCCGCGCTGAAGGACAAAATCCATGCGGTTTGGTGTGATGTTGTAGCTGCCACCGTCACTCTACCATGCTAACACTGTTTATAGGCTCTGCCTCTCGATACCTCATGCGGATGGACGGTTGTTTGAGAACGGAGTCAAGGAGTTTCTAGAATCGAGGAAGGCAATTCTGGGCAATAGTGCGCATCGTTTACATCTTGTCTCTCGTAACTCATGTTCCAAACTGTAGTTCCGATCATTATTGTCTTCACCAAGCACGATATTTTTCTCGACACACTGGAGCTCGAAGCCATGGATTTGGAAGGATGTGATGAAGCCGCGCTCGAACAGTTCAAAAGAGACTCTTTGAATAATCTGTGTGTCAAGCCGCTCATGGATGTGGCTGGCAGTGACATCCTGCATGCAACTGTTTCCAGTAAGGGGCATTCGCCTTCTCTAGCCTGTGATTCTAATGTACCTTGACAGCAACGGATGGGTACGAAAATACTGTACGAGAGCTGATTGATCTCACAACTACAAACGTCGAAAAATTCGTCGCCTCAGAAGCGGCATTGGCTATGATGATAGCCCAACGAGTAGACATTGGTCTTAAAGTTAAGGCATCAATTGCGTATGCACGATCGCTATACTTTTGGTAGAGCCTTATTTCACACTTTACTCTTCACAGCATCGGTAGGAAAAGTTAGTCTCGTCACAGTCTTCGACGCCATTTTGTGACTTTTGAATTCTTAGGATATTGGAGAGGTCTCGGCTCGAGTATGAACTTCGCAGGCTTCACCATGAAGGATTGTTTGTCTGTGATCCACAAGGACGTCATTGCCGTATGGAACTTCAATGACCCTCACTGCGTAAGATGCCTATCTTGTATGGGTTAATATCTCAGGTTGTTGACGTGTTTTGCAAAGCACTTGGCCAGTGGCAAGTTCCAAGAGCTGATTCTACAAGATCTAGACAGGGACGACTTTCCGAACACAGCGGGATCTTTGTGAGTTGTTGTACTGTGAGATGCTTTCAGTTTATGGAGGTATTGGCAGTACATTTGGCCTCACCGTGGTCGGAGCAATAATAGGTATCATGACGCCACTGGCAGCTCCGTTTCTACCGATCGTTGCGCCCATTGCCGCAGGGATGGTCATGGCTAAATGGGTCTATGACATCTATCAACAGACGTGAGTGAAGCGTGATTTCGTTATTTGAAACGTGCTCAAAATAGCCTCTAGAAACATTACCTTACGGCGGATTATGGCCTACATCGTGGATTTAACATGTATCATGCAGATCGCGTTCCTGCTAGCGCCGACAGGGCCCATCTCTCGTCGCGTCATCAAAATTGCTATCAAAGCCTATGATGAGGCAGGGGAAAAGCAGTGTTCATTCAGCAATTCACTCCCATGTACCTTTAACTCGTACTGGAGGAGATGATACACTGGATGAGATTGTTAGATTGATTGAGCGCCACTCCATCAAGGCTGAAGAAGTCCAGGACCTGAGAACGAAGATTGGGCCGCGCATGGTGGGGTTGCAACTGGATGAAGAGTGGTAGATGGAGCCCGGGCCTTCATGATAGTGCTCAGTGATCGCAGTTTCTGTAACTTGGTACCTTGCACTTATCCTTCAGGACCTTCGTAACCTATATGCACGCGCTTATCTGATATCAGCTGAGTTATATCGAGCCAAAGCCTTTATTTATATTCTCTGACTTGATTGGTTTCACCAGCCGGGTTCTCTGGCACACTCAGCGTGGCGGTTATAACAACTTTATCAGCTCCGTCTCTGTGGAGTCAATCAGGTCGCAGCCCGGTTCAAAGGTGGTCTGTACGTTATTAGACTCAAGATTAAGCTCTTTGCTAAATAACGATGCTATCACTTTGCGTTCGATGTTTATTTTTTCACGAATATCCACCACGTCGTTCGTTCTGTGAGAGAGCCTCTCCCGCTGAATGTGGCATTCAAAACGAAACGACATGAATCGTGGCTCGAGCGCAGACCTTTATATCCGCAGAGGCAGGTCGTACCTGGGTTTCTTCACTTCTTGTCTTATTGCGCCCCCTTTCTATCATCATGTTTCACTAATCTACTGATACCTGTAACTGACAACATCATCATCGGATCGCGCCAAAGCCGAATTGAGTACACTCTTCGTGACCGGCGGTGCAGACTATGCACCTTTTGGTAGAAAGATGGATTCTGCATCTTCAAGACAACGTCTCGCAGAGCAAGTGAAGGAGACTGTACCTATCAATGCTGGATCAAGGTGCATTTATTCTTGCGCTCACTTGTACCCAGACCTAGACTGAACGTCCGGCGTTTGCTTCTATCCGTGCAGAGGAATAATTGTAGGTGTTCTATGAGCACCGATCGACTGTTGGAGCACGGACTGACCAGTATAAACGGTATTATTTCTGCGGCCGAGAAGGGGGGCGGGACATCAGTCCGGTTCGAATTCCGAGGCAGTTCAATGCACTTTGGTTCGTTAAGTCTCGTCATCGCTGACACCAAGTCTGATAGCGAGCGTAAAGTGGAGTTTTGGCGAAGTGAAGCCAGAAAGACAGTGAACTGTGATCATAAATAACACCACAGCTACAAGTCCGGTAGGCACCTGTGCAAAATGTGAGCATTACGCATTAGCAGATATTTCATATAGCACATAAAGTATATCACGATCATCCGTAAAGAGTGGGTCTCTACACATGTGCTGTATCATCCGACATAGGGCCAATGGCCCCAATGAACGATAAATAAAATGACGTTCCAGGGAAGTACGTCGCGCTTCCATATTGACCTCGATGCTATCTTAGTGCGTATTTCACCTTACCTAGGATCAACTGACAACATAAATAAATAAAT